CGCAGTTGCTGGGGTTATATCACAGCGGTGGTACAATTGAATCGGGATCAGATATCTGACAGAATCCATCGAGCTTGCCCACCCGATCCTCGGGGTGTTATATCCGGTGATACATCATGCCCGTAGAAAGATACTGACAGCACCGTTTTAAAGTGTGTTTAACGGGGGCGATCACGGAGCGGAATTATGCCGTTGAGTCCATACCTGGAAATCTGAGACAAGCAGAGTGATCGATTTGACATTGATTGCCTAATGGAGTTCCTTCAAGTTACATGTCCCCATATTGTTGTAAAATCATAAATCAATATCGGAACAGATGTATAAAATATCTTCGATCTATTTCCATTCGGGAAAAGTCGTCTCAACGTCTATTTGTGGTAAATGTCCAAATCAGCCTCCTCTGCATGAACAATTTCAAACATAGGTGTACTTTTTTAATTTATCAGCGTATTTTCCAACACTTAAACACAGCATCAGTACAGTTGTATTCCGAAGGCCTTTAAACAGCGCTTGATATACCAGTTGAACTAATCTTGACACACGGTTAATTCTCACACTGTCAGTTGTTTTAAATGATTCCAATTTTTGTCGTATCGTATGAAATGAGTTACTTTGGCATGTTCTGTCCTCAATTAAGATCGTTAAAGTGTAATGACTTGATTTTAGGCATGTCAGTGACCAATCCTTTTTTCAAAATCATTTCAAGTTGTAACATAACAAAGTAATGAAAGTACATGTACATTTTCCGCTTATTACCTATGTGATTAGTATATAAAGAACTATATATAGGTTGTGGAACAGATGTGAAAGATCTGTTGAATGGTGGAGTATTAGTTCAGGCAGTTCTTGAAGATTTGAGCAGATACCAGTACCGTGATACCTGCTTCAGGTACTACTACTACTACTACTACTACTACTACTACTACTACTACTACTACTACACGTACTTAGGGATGCAGGTTAGGGACAAACTCCAGAATGCCCATATCAAGGACAAACTTCGGGCAGAGTACAAATGTAAACTCTAGAAAATCTGGAGTTCAGAGCCGAACGCTCGCAATAAAGTAAAAGCCACAAATACTTGTGCTGTACCCGTCCTTTCGTATTCTTTTGGTGCTGTTAATTGGACGAAACAAGAAATTCAGGGTATTGACACACTCACACGAAGAATCATGTCAGACAATAGATCCCACCACCCTCGCTCTTCCCTCAATCGCTATTTTTTATTAACAATAATGGAAGGGCGTGGTTTGATTAACATGGAGGATCTTCATGATGGAATTGCATTGTGCACTTTTCCACACATTTATTTGTCTGATGATCCTCTTGTGAGGCATGCCAAGACTCATGGTGAAAACAAGGCATTCCACAGTTTTCTTAAACAAGCCAAGTATGTGGGACATAATCTCAATGTCAGTGTTGATTTTGTTGATTGTTCTGTACTGCTGGACTCAGTTTTTCAAGGAGAGGCTATCTGAACGACCACTGATCGAATTTATATGCAGTGTGTTGAGAAGATCAGTAACCCTGCAGAGTCCTTCGCTTGGATGAAGTGAAACAGAAAGCTTTTTGTTTGCTGCTCAGGACCAGTCACTTCCCACTCGTAACCGTCAATTTGTGATTTTGCATCAAAATGTAAATATGAAATGTAGAATATGCAATGAATTTAATTAGACTGCCATTGTCAGTGTATGCCCAGTTTAGGCACAAACACAGTTTCTTAAGCGACACGATGGAGTGGGTCGATCCTTTTATTACCGTCTTCGCCTGTAGTTATGACACAGAGGTCCATCCATGATACGACCCAGAATATGTAGATTGCGTCATGGAAAATGATAAATATAAAATATTTGGAATAAGTCCGTATACAGCCTCAGACCTACCCAGGCCAACAAATCTGATCTTGATAAATCCAGTGAAACTGTATATATAATTGACTTCTCTGTACCTCTTGACATTAAAGTGATTTGCAAAATTCAGAAAAAACATGGCAAAAATGCGGACCTCGCTTACGAAATATTGCGCTTTCATCCAAAGAACCAAGTTGTCCTACTCCCCATTGTTCTCGGTGCCTTAGGTTTGGTACCTTCCAATATGTTGAATACCATTGGGAGAGGACCCGGGTTGGCTGCCAGGACACTGACACTCTTGGTAATGCAGATAGCTGCAGTCTTGGGGAGTCTTCACATTCTTCGAAAAGTTCTGGGTGGGTTTGACTAGGCAACGCTTCCTGGAGGAAGTTCCATTCGCTGACTGGGCTGCGTGTAGAGGTGGCAAGGGCAAACCCTCTTTGTTGCATTTATTTATTTTAATCTGTATATTGATACAAAGATGAAAACATAATACTTGATGTACATGTGTTTGTAAAACAACGCAAGCTCGTGCCATCTATGATCTTGTTCTATTACAAAAAATGTTTGGGACGTAAAGAATTCATAAATACCTTTTTCATAAGATGAACATTGTAATGATGATAATTATGATTTTCTCTTCCATTTAGAACACACGATGGACCTCAGTGTAAACGCATCCTGCACAGACAGTCTTGGCCAGCTGGAAGTTGCCTTTGTCCCTGTAAAAGTCCACGTGCCCATTGATTCCAGGGGTGGTTCAACCCACGTTGGTTCTGACTCAAACCAAAGGTTTGAGAAGCTGTGTTGGGAAGAGAGAGATCCGACGTTTATGGTTCAGGAAGACGCGACCCCTGTGACGTTCGGAGCCCTGAGGTATCCCCCAGACATAGGCGAGGACATCTCTATGATCTACAGCCTAGATGACGGTAGGTAGAAATGTTTCCATGAATTGGATTATGACCGCATGACACGTTGTTAGACGTTAATATATTGCCGTTTTCGTTATGACAGTTTCCAAAGAACACCGACACCGCAGAGATGCTGTTGTGATATATAACGTCATACGCAGACTCGATTATCCATTTGGCGTTAAATGCAAAATAACGGTGAATTTATATGAATGGATCACTGAAAATCTGTGATGACACCAGGTGTTGCGAAAAGGGTGAACATTCTGCCCTACCGGTAACACCCGCCACTTTACAATTTGCATAAAAAGGTTTGTGTTTTGTTGCACACCACACACCATCACTTCAGCCATGAGACGGCGGCATCTAAACAAACCATACAATCAAGTGATGGACCAGAAATCCAGTCCACAGATAGAGCATTCACTGATGTTGTTGAAACTAATAACGGTATGTTATTTTTGAATTACATCTGCTGTGTACAAGTGCAGGGATTCTATGACTACATTTTCACCACGCCCATGCATCATGGGTCATGCGCGACTGTGCAGAAATACAACAAAAAGTAACTTCTTTTTTGCTGTTACTGATGAACAGGGAAAGAAAATCTTTGTCCTTTATACCACATGCACGTACTGCGAAACCGCATTATCGGTGGTTCGAGAAGGGAGCTAACTCCGCTTGCCTAATCTAAAGTTCGAACTTTAAATGATCAATCAATCTAAAGTTCGAGGTGGGCCCACATTAAAAAATAAACGCACTTGTAGAGTTTTTTTGAGGCCATAAAGGCTTGTATCATGACCAAGTTCGATTCAAGTATAGACATAATTTTCAGGTTTATATCGCAACCGACATTTATGATTAGATTGATGTATTATACTGGAAAACGTGCATTGAATGGTATTGTCTCTCAAATTCAATTTGAAGTACGTTTCTGCTGTTGTAATTATTTTTGCAAAACTTTGTTTTGGAACGAGAGTGATCAGCTGATGACGTAATTGAAACTTCATAGACTTTGTGTACCCATCGTGGAGGTAACGTTACACTTAGTAATGTATAAGGCTTCACACATTGGACCCATGTCGGGAATCGAACCCTGGCCTTCGGCGTGACGAGCGAACGCTTTAACCACCAGGCTACCCGACCGTCCCAAATAATTTATAAAGACATTTCCCATCAATATAACAAAATGAGAACAATATACATTCCTACATATCCATACAAAATAATTACAAATGTGAGCTCACTAAATGACTTAGTCAACCCAATGAAGCCTAGCGATCTACAAATGTGGGTCCACCTATCACTATATTTATGACGGAAGAAGTGGACCCACATCTTAGAAATTGTTTTAAGTAAGCCAGCCTAATGAAGCTTGGCGATTTATAAATGTGGTGACTCCTGTTGCAATCATTATGACGGCAAATGTGGACCCACATTTAGAAATTGATTATCAGAACTCTTTAAGCAACCTTATGAAGTTAGGCTTTATACAAATGGCCCACTTGTTTCGATCACCATATATGGCGGGAACAATGTGGACCCACATTTAAGAAAATGGTTATCAGTTAATTGAACTTCTCGATTTATAAATGTGGTCCTTCCTGTTGCAATATGCCTGCCAACATCTAAAAATTGATTTTCAGCACCCTGCCAACCTAATAAAGCTTTTCTGTAGTCATATACAATTGTGGGCCCACTTGCTTTGATAACCATATATGACGGGGGAAAGTGGGTATAAAGTATATCTTCAAAGAAGTCCATGGCGACTAAACATTACATTCAGCAACAAATTGTAGACAAAGTCATTGTTGCACGATCAGCGCTGTCGGTTCCCTTTCAATGATCTGCAGTGCCGCGGCTTCTATGGTGGGGGATGGGGATGTTGGGTTTAAATTTATCATGTTGTGGCACAGTGTTGTCTGTTCATATGGAAGGACGGCGTGTCACCAAGAAACGACATCAAAGTGTGTTTCTCACCAAGATTATCAACACCCTTTGAAAGAACCATATATACAAAACTAAAGGTCATACCGCTATCGCTTACTGGCTAGTTTATTGCAACCCCAGCCGTGTACGATTTGATGCGAATCAATACCACGTGTATGGTCAATCCATCAGGATCACCGGGTGTCATTAAGAGTTCATCAAAGAAACAATTTACTGAAAGTAAATGATACCACGAACACTACGAAAAGTTTGTCCAAAGCCGTAACACACGGACTTATACTGCAAACGGGTTTGGAGGCAAATGGATTCAATCACATGTATAATAAATCATTTCAAAGTTCTTAGGTCCAAAATGACTCTGGTACAAATATTTTATTTCTCTGTGGCATATAGGCAGCATGTTGTTATGCACACCATAATGAGACGGAATGTGAAACAATTAACATATTGTGCCTTGAGTGAGTGAGTGAGTTGGGTTTAACGCCGCTTTTAACAGTAATCCAGTTATATCGCGGCGTGTCAGCTTAATGTAGGAGGAAAGCCCGAAGTGATGCAGGTCTCAGACGTTTACAACGGGTATGGTGCTGACAAACCTGGAAACATAATCGACCCGAACCAGGATTCGAACCCACAATCATAGGTTTCTGGTGTGCCTAAGGGACGCAACTCTGCACAGGGAATCGCGGCGCCTTAGACGACTGGGCCACCCGTGCCCCCTATAGTGCCTTGAACAAAATTCATTCCCTTCAAGTGATGGACTGGAATGTTTCGAAACAACATTGGAGCTTCAAACACACTTTCATTATTATGTTATTACATGCTATAGTTTTCTTACCTCTATATGTACCTCTGTGTGGCAGACAATTAAAGAAACCGTGAACTTTAATGGACATATTTCATGTAGCGAAACTATTGTTATCATTCATTGTGTAATATGATTTCATGACGTGACGTTAAATTTAAATATAAAACGTCCACGTCAAAGAATAATCAGTCTCGGTTAACTGCAACAACAAATTCTATCGGGCGTAAAAGGTAAAATAGTAGTGAAATTTATATGAATGAATCACTGAAATCAATGATGAGACACCAGGTGTTCGCTAACAGTTTATTATTCCTAGTTTCAGGTTAGTGATGCTGTGCCCTAATAAAACTGTGAATTTCCCCATTATAATCAAGATTAGAAGTGAGACCCTATATAGTATTCAGTGGGTGACACTTGCATAACGATTTGTATCAATACCAATGGCCACATTTCTATTCTTCACCAGAGTACAATGTTTTAAGCACACTTGTGGTGTCCTTTGTGCCGTTACTGTGACGGTGACAGTAATATTTTGTAAATGTTACACAAATACCGCGTGTGACCTAAACCCCCCAAATGCACGACACAAACGCCTACGGGAACTGTCAACTTGAACTAATGCATTTACAGTTTACGGCAATACCGCTCGAGAAAGAAGTGTGAAGAAAAGAGACCTGTTGAAATAGAATGAGAAGGTGTATTACTTAGATTTATCTTGTGCACCCGAGGCAATGCCACACAAATGATATTTTCTTGGCACGATCGCCAACAGAATCATGAAATTATTCATCCTCCCTGTAGGAGATTGACAGTCTGAGTCTGATGAATGGTTCAATTACATTACAGGGACTCGATATTCACACCGCATGAGCAAGTTACTGGCAATTCAACTGTAACACTTATTGCTCCAAACCCTCTGTCACAATATAATATCAAATTATAGCCCTGTGGAATTCTTGCCAGAGAGACCAAAGGTTTTATCTAAACACATACAAGAATGTATCCAGAAGTTGGTAAACACTGGGACTTGGGTGATTGCCTTTCTTCTGTTGCCAAATCCTCAAGACATATTGACTCCTGAACCTCCAGGTCTCACAATCAGACCTTTATTAAATGACTCCTGGCCCCTGAGGTAAATGCGTTCTTTAATTCCTCTCTCAGGAACTGTGAAGTCAGCTTAACTATCAGACTTATTTGTCGTATTCATTGGCGAAAGGTGTAAATTACTCTTGGACTGAGAAAGGTATGTGTGAGGTTGCAAATCGATGCTATTGTAAAGGTGTTCTAGGTTCATCAGTCATTAATTGGGTCTCAGGATTTATTCCTGTCAGTCCCGAGGAAGTAAAACGTTCACCCTTCTAAACACAATTGGGCCGCTGTTGCCCATGGGAGCATTTACATTGAGTTATATTAAAAATCGTCACTCATGAAAGTTACTCGCATCTGTCGAGATTACTGTGATTATTTATTGACTGGAATCTGTCACAAGTGAGATTTCCAGGTCCATCTTCATTCGTCTGGAGAATTAAGATGTCGATCATCAATAACCTTTTTGAGACACCTTTGAGTTATTTGTTAACAATTCCCATGTATTGCTGTGTGAGTACATGTATTTTGCAGTCCATACATCACCAACTGATACATTGTATTCATGGCCTGTACCTATGGTTCATTTGCAGTTGCAGTGAAGCATTTACTGAATTTCATAATTTACGATAGAAGCAATATATTTTGTCATTTGTCGTATACTACATACACCCAATCTTTGTTGAATACTGAAGCACATAACCCCAGCCAGTGTTATATGGCAGTGCATTTTGTTGTTGAATAATGATTGTAACTGTGTTACAATGTTTCTGGTGAGATTCGGTAGACGCTTGTTGCATTGTGTTTGGGCAGTGATCAGTCGGCAGGAAATTATTATATTTAGATGTCAGTGTGATGTGTAAACGTCCTGTCCGGCTTACCGGGACGGTGATTGTATGTTTTTGAAATATGTGGAACTTTCCAGTTTTTTTGTTAGGTTGTTTATAAGGGGACAATAGCGTGTATACATATCTCTCATACATTTCGGCTCTCACACATGTCATCATGTACCAGCTTTCATGTGAGGATCATCCCTGAATCCATGCCTCGCACATCTCGGAAGCTTGACCACTGTATATTATATATAATAAATATTATCATCACTGTCTTTTGTTATCAACACTGTATTTTTGTATTCGATATCACCACTGCCATCATATTTTGTATTTGATACTGCCATTGAATATTGTACTACAACTGCCATCATTTTTTGTATTGTTTACTGCCATTGTAATTGGTGTGCAGTAATTTGTATTGATTTGTCAACTTAGCGGATTTTGTAATACATTTGATTATATACGATTTGTTTGTTGTTTGTTGGTTTCAGACTGAGATCTTTTACGTACAGATTTCTGGATTAACATTTAGTCTCAATTTGGGAATCGACACGTAACACTAGCATATCATGATATCGGACTCCTAGCAGAAATGGACAATAAAGTGTTTGACCTGAATGAATGGAGTCACATGAATATGAATGAATGTTCGTGCAACATTATCATAAATGCAAACGCATTGCTGCACCTGGTGTCATCGCTAGTTTTCAGTGGTCCAATCGCGTGGTTATCACCGTTGTGTCGCCTTTTGCGCCCGTCGGAGTCTGTTTTGTCGGATGGTGGAGGCTGGTTGTTTTCTGGCTTTGGCATTCTATATTTATCTGTTACGTGTTAACAATGTTGAAAACCTTAAATGTTACAATCATTACAAGTACATATTGAAAGGTGTAATGATTATCCAGAGATATGTCATCTATTATACCGATGATGTCACTTGGAAGTGTGATGATATCACCATCTGAACAGCCACAGTCCTCTTTGTGCATGCGGTCTGTAAATAATCGCGCCTGGACCAGACAATCCAGTGATATTATAATATGATCTATCATAGTAATTGCATGTATTATAACATAATTATGGAAATAAAATAAACATACTTTATGTTTTCTGTGCCATGATGTAAACGAAATATTATACTGATGTAAGGGTTACTCCAAATACAATGAACATCTCAATGAAGCTTCATTAGCTTCATCGACATTGGCCAGTGTACCTAAAGTATGTACTATTTCTCGTACTATATATATGCAATATACATTCGTACTATATATACAATATACATTCATCTCGTTAAATACATCTATCTATCTATATCGAGATGAATGTATGTTGGCTTCAATTCAGTTTCACGTGTAATTCTGTAATTCGTACAAAATGTCTGTATGTCTTCTGTTACTCTTGCAGCAGCATCAGGTACACAATACTTCACCATGAACAGCGTTACTTCTGAAATGAACCTGACACAGCCTCTTGATCGTGAGCAGAACGACGCAGTCAGCATGAACGTGACATGTACAGTGAAATCTGGTTCACAAGAAATTGGTAAAACAAGCACCACTGTTACTGTCAATGTGATTGGCGTTAATGACAACCCACTAATATTTTCTGAAGACAGCTCGCAGCTTCGAGAAATAAACATCACAGAAGATACCCAGGTATGCATCTATTTTAGAACGTAAACATACACCCACGGGACAACCGCATATGTGTCGATATATCCGTATTTCGAGACCAAAGAAGTGTTATATACACAGTAAACTACGGTTATGACGAACTCAAATGGGGCAACTAATTATAGTTCGTTATAACCGCGGTTCGTTATAAACATATGTACAGGATATACGCAGCAAATGCCCGGAAAAAAAAAACAGTACGTTAACATATGTCAGTTGTCAGTTTGTTATAAGCGTGTTCGTTATAAATGTAGTTTACTTGAATAGTTTTAATATTGGGATAATGGCGGTTAAATAAATGAACGTTTTCTGTAGATACGTCTAAGTATTCTTTGCACTGTGTGTGATAAAAGCTCATGATCATGGCGAGACTATATCTTGACTAAGGTGTGTTTTAATCATGTACAGTGGAAAATACTGACATTTCCATTTTTTTCTCAACCAATAAAAGAATTTTCCATTTCCAGGTACAATTTCGAATCAAACAATGAAATTCAGACAAATGCTCCTTAATCATTCAAGTCACAATTTCAAAATAAAAAAAAAATGCAAATTGACTAATATTGCCAATGTCATACAACTCCGTGACAAAATCCATCACAAATAATGCGTTGCGTGTTATGTCTTCAACAAAACACAAGGTTATTAACCCCATGATTGTTTTTGCAACATCACTTAATCAAAGGTAAAACATTTTTGCTCAGGCACAACTTCTTTCCCTCGAAACATTTTTTCAAATGATATAGAATCTGAGATTTTTTTATGTCTATAAAACCTCTGATTTAAAAAAAAGTGAAAACATCAGAAGAAAATGCTCACATTTATGACAGGGAAAATAGATATATGGCGTTTGCTTTTTTAACGTTTTTTTGGCTCAAAATAAACACGTTTTGCTCATCTAAAACTTTAATAAAAGGTATGTTTGCTGAGATACAGTTATGATACTATGCTGCCCACATAGTCTCAAGACATATACGAGATTCGCCACGTTCATTTTAATCACGGCGTTTTGTTTGGTGAAATCGGGGTTTTGGTGAAATATTCAACATGCATTGTATAATCTGTTAGTTTGGCCATGTATGGCATAATAGACGACCCGGTTGCTATGTCATATGATCTTGGCACTTCTTCGTATTTAGCCACATATTAATGTAAGATGTAAGACTAGTTGGAAGAAATGCCGCATCATAGCATTATCGACATTATCTAACAATGGTCAATGGGACTCAAAAGGGTCAAGTTACGAAAAGATCGCCATATGGCCGTGTAAAGCGATCTGGACTAGTTCTTGAAGAGTTCTCGAAGACATTAGCCACTCAGATGCTTTGGTTTTGATTTGTGTGTTTAGGGAACCAATTACCGGTGCGGTGGCTAGCCTTTGTTTAAACCGCTGTAGACTTTTGCAGTGATGAAGTGTTCTCCAGGCTAATCAATCCCAAGCATACTTGTAATATGCCGGTTGTTTCTATATACGACAGACGGTGATATTTGTCCTCGTCTGTCCACGTGATGACCTACCGTTCACGTGTGGGTAACATTTTCTGACGGGTTCTTATCCTTGGAAGATCTGATGGTAAGATAACAGCCCAGCAGACACAAATCCAGGAAGTCTAGATACCCAGCTTCATTTGATCAAAGCTGCCGCCAACGCAATTTAGTAACGTTAATCTTATTTTGGTCTTAAGGATTTGCACATGTCTGAACACAGACCGTGAAGAACATGACTTGGTACCCGTCAAACACTGCCGTTAGATAGCCTATTATTTGTGATGGTTTCGTTGAACTTTAATAACATGAATCACTGAGAAAGGTATAGCAATACATATTACAAATCCCAAACTGAATTATTCTCTTTCAGTACTCTATTTCATTATTATCTGCGTATATCATTTCCCAATAAATCATTACTAGAGGGGGATCGGTGATGATACTTTGTATTACAATCAATAATGTTTCCGTGAATAATTTGAAGCAACTTTAAAGATATTGACAATTCGTCCTAAAATACGGTCACGTCAATAGCGTAATTGCAGATCTAAAATATCAGCGTCAATTAATGAAAATGTATGTATTTTTGTGATCATATTACTCATGTATGCCGATGTCAACATATGTTTGGGGGCGCGGTTGACCTGAAGATGTACGATTCCCAGTGCAATTCCCGTAGTTCACCAGGATCCAGAACTATACCCGTAGGTTTCAACAAAGTGGTAAACGTCAACGACCTGCATAACTTTTAGCTTTCCTACCACGTCACCACGTCAAGCTGACACGCAGCAACCGAGTAACGCGAACCAGCTTGGGATAACTTAAAGACAGTTCACTGGGGCAGTTGTCATCCGAAAATGAATGAAATTGAGAATGACAGTTAAATAGAATAATTATTCCTTGCCGTAACCTGACTCGATGAGATAAACGTGATATCCAATAAGCCTTCTATTAATTAAAGCACTAGTAGATCAAACCGGAAGTAGCCACCGTGTCACACAGCTGGAAGCCATATAGCAATTTAAGGCTCACACAAACACTGCTGAAAACCCTAGCAACGATGTACGCTGCTCGCGTGTAAGGCTTGAGCATTAAGGTTATTTGACTGAATAACGAATGCACAATGAGTCTACTTACTGTTACCGAATTACACCGCCATAAGGAAGGGGAATTATGAGTGGCATACAGCGGAGAAACAAGCAAGATGAAAGCCTGGTTTAAGGCTGAATGGCTATTATTATGATAAGTCCACATTTATAATTATTCACTGCAATTATTGTTGTAGACAAACAATGCCATGAGGGCGCTTTGAAGGCATGAAATTATCAAAGTGATGTTATGTTAGATCTTGTATTTTTCTGTCGTTTTTGACGATATTATTACCTTAATCACTGCAGTGACTTTACTGAACAAGTTATGTTTCAAGCAATATATATGTTATAGACTACGAAACCTCGTTGTTCCGGACTTGAAGCCTCCCTGAAGACCTCTTATGCCAACAGCGATATAGAGTCAGAATTAAAGGGACGTTACTTCCTGGCCGGGATTGGTTGATTCGGTCGATTCGCTTTAAGTGGTATAGGTCGGATTAACTTGGTTCACTCTACACAAGACATGATACTGACTGGATTAACGAGGATCCCTTTTTGCACAAATCAGTGTACTGTTTTGGATTAACGAAGTTTCACTAAACACAATTCATGTCACTGCCCGGTTTAACTAGGTATATTGTACACAATTCAAAGTACTGTCTGCATTAACAAGGTTTCATTGTACACAATCATGGCGATGCTCGCTTTTACAAGATTCACTGTGCACAATTCATGGTACTGTCCGAAATAACTAGGTTCACTGAAAACAACTAATGGCACTGCCCGGATTAACTACTGTACTGTACACAATTCATGGCACTGCCCGGATAAACTAGATTCACTATACACAGTTCATGGTACTGTCTAGATTAACGAAGTTTCACTGAACACATTTCATTGTACTGCCCGGATTAACTAAGTACAATGTACACAAATTCGCGGTATTGTCTGGATTAATGAGGTTTCACCGGACAGTACCATCAATTGTGTACGATGAAACCTCGATAATCCGCACAGTACCACAAATAGTGTACAGTGTACACAATTAATTGTATTATCTGGATTGACGAGGTTTCACTGGACACAATTGATGTTACTGCTCTGTTTAACCCAGATTCACTGTACACAATGTGTGATACAGTTTGAATTAGCGAGGTTTTACTGTACATAATTCATGGTACTGCCCAGTTTAACTAGATTCACTGTATACAATTCAGTGTAGTGTCTAAATTAACTAGGTTCACTGTACACAATGCATTGTACTCTCTGTATTAACTAGATTCCCTGTACACTAGTTGTGGTACTGTGTGGATTATCGAGGTTTCATTGTACACAATTGATGGTACTGCCCGGATTAACTAGATTCACTGTGCACAATTCGTGATACTGTCTGGATTAACGAGGTTTCACTGGACACAATTCATAGTACCGTCCGGTTTAACTAGATTCACTGTACACTATTTGTGGTACTGTGTGGATTATCGTGGTTTCATCGTACACAATTGATGGTACTACCCGGATTTCCTAGATTCACTGTGCACAATTCGTAGTAGTGTCTGGATTAACGAGGTTTCACTGGCCACAATTCATAGTAGATTCACTAGATTCACTGTACATACTCCGTGGTACTGTCAGTGGTACTGAATTAACGAGGTGTTACTGTACACAGTTCAGGGTACTGCTTTGTTTAATTAGATTCACTGAACACAGTTCGTGGTACTAGTTGGATTAACGAGGTTTCACTGTACACAGTTCAGGGTACTGCTTTGTTTAATTAGATTCACTGAACACAGTTCGTGGTACTAGTTGGATTAACGAGGTTTCACTGTACACAGTTCAGGGTACTGCTTTGTTTAATTAGATTCACTAAACGCAATTCGTTGTGCTGTCTGGATTAACGAGGTTTCACTATATACATTAATTGTACAGCCCGGTTTAACTAGATTCTGTGTACACAATTCGTGGTACTGTCGAGGTTTTAGTATACACAATTCCAGATGTGTTTCTTTTTGTCTGATGTGTTTATATTATTTAGTTTAATTGCAGCTATTTGATATTGTACTTTCACTATTTCGCAAACACCTATAGATACACCTGTAAAGAAATACTGGTCACTGCGGCGTTAAACCCAAACTCTTCCCTAAAAGAAAACCTCTACAGCGCTCTTCGTCAAATCTTGTACATGTTTCAATAAACACAAACGGCACATATAATAAGGCTAATAATATCAAAATGTCACATTTCATCGAGTGCAACACACAACTCTTCTTCTTCTAACAGAACTTCTTCATAATGGAATTGTGAATTTCTAGAATACGTTATTAGTAATATACAGAAACGCTTATGTTCCGACTGTATGACATGCGAAGTTCATTAAATGCGGTGTTTCGTTTTCAGCGTGTCAGGGAGATGCTGCAAGATGTTGACAGAGGACAACCTGGACAGTATGACGTCACAGTTGTTAACGACACACAGAGGCTCGTGAACACAACCAATCTGGTTCAAAATTCAGTTCAAGGGAATTATCTACTACTAAGTAATATTCCTCTTTCTTCCGGAGAAACATTCTTCTGTTATACAAAGCAGCATTCCTCTGTAATGCTATGTAGTATTCCCCTGAGCTACAAAGTAACATTCCTCTGTGGTATAAAGTAACATTCCTCTGTGGTATAAAGTAACATTCCTCTGTGGTATAAAGTAACATTCCTCTATGGTACAAAGTAACATTCCTCTGTGGTATAAAGTAACATTCCTCTGTGGTATAAAGTAACATTCCTCTGTGGTACAAAGTAACATTCCTCTGTGGTATAAAGTAACATTCCTCTGTGGTATAAAGTAACATTCCCCTGAGCTACAAAGTAACATTCCTCTGTGGTATAAAGTAACATTCCTCTGTGGTACAAAGTAACATTCCTCTGTGGTATAAAGTAACATTCCTCTGTGGTACAAAGTAACATTCCTCTGTGGTATAAAGTAACATTCCTCTGTGGTATAAAGTAACATTCCTCTGTGGTATAAAGTAACATTCCTCTGTGGTATAAAGTAACATTCCTCTATGGTACAAAGTAACATTCCTCTGTGGTATAAAGTAACATTCCTCTGTGGTATAAAGTAACATTCCTCTGTGGTACAAAGTAACATTCCTCTGTGATATAAAATAACATTCCTCTGTGGTATAAAGTAACATTCCTCTATGGTACAAAGTAACATTCCTCTGTGGTACAAAGGAACATTCCTCTGTAGTGCTATGCTGCATTCCTCTGTGGTACAAAGTAACATTCCTCTGTAGTGCTCTGTAGCATTCCCCTGAGGTACAAAGTAACATTCATCTGTGGTGCTATGTAGCATTCCTCTATGGTACAAACTAACACTCCTTTGTGGTACAAAATAACATTCCTCTGTGGTACAAAGTAACATACATCTGTGGTACAAAGTAACATTCCTCTATGGTACAAAGTAACACTCCTTTGTGGTACAAAATAACATTCCTCTATGGTACAAAGTAACATACATCTGTGGTACAAAGTAACATTCCTCTGTGGTATAAAGTAACATTCCATATGGTACAAAGTAACATTCCTATGTGGTACAAAGTAACATTCCTCTGTAGTGCTATGTAGCATTCCTCTGTGGTACAAAGTAACATTCCTCTGTGGTACAAAGTAACATTCCTCTGTGGTACAAAGTAACATTCCTCTGTAGTGCTATGTAGCATTCCCCTGAGCTACAAAGTAACATTCCTCTGTGGTATAAAGTAACATTCCTCTGTGGTGCAAAGAAAAATTCCTCTGTGGTACAAAGTAACATTCCTCTGTAGTGCTATGTAGCATTCCTCTGTGGTACAAAGTAACATTCCTCTGTAGTGCTATGTAGCATTCCCCTGAGCTACAAAGTAACATTCCTCTGTGGTATAAAGTAACATTCCTCTGTGGTGCAAAGAAAAATTCCTCTGTGGTACAAAGTAACATTCCTCTGTAGTGCTATGTAGCATTCCTCTGTGGTACAAAGTAACATTCCTCTGTAGTGCTATGCTGCATTCCTCTGTGGTACAAAGTAACATTCCTCTGTAGTGCTCTGTAGCATTCCCCTGAGGTACAAAGTAACATTCCTCTGTAGTGCTCTGTAGCATTCCTCTGTGGTACAAAGTAACATTCCTCTGTAGTGCTATGTAGCATTCCCCTGAGCTACAAAGTAACATTCCTCTGTGGTATAAAGTAACATTCCTCTGTGGTGCAAAGAAAAATTCCTCTGTGGTACAAAGTAACATTCCTCTGTAGTGCTATGTAGCATTCCTCTGTGGTACAAAGTATCATTCCTCTGTAGTGCTATGCTGCATTCCTCTGTGGTACAAAGTAACATTCCTCTGTAGTGCTCTGTAGCATTCCCATGAGGTACAAAGTAACATTCATCTGTGGTGCTATGTAGCATTCCTCTATGGTACAAACTAACACTCCTTTGTGGTACAAAATAACATTCCTCTGTGGTACAAAGTAACATACATCTGTGGTACAAAGTAACATTCCTCTATGGTACAAAGTAACACTCCTTTGTGGTACAAAATAACATTCCTCTATGGTACAAAGTAACATACATCTGTGGTACAAAGTAACATTCCGCTGTAGTGCTATGTAGCATTCCTCTGAGGTACAAAGTAACATACATCTGTGGTACAAAGTAACATTCCTCTGTAGTACAAAGTAACATACATCTGTGGTAAAAAGTAACATTCCTCTGTGGTGCTAAGTAACATACATCTGTGGTACAAAGTAACATTCCGCTGTAGTACTATGTAGCATTACTCTGAGGTACAAAGTAACATACATCTGTGGTTCAAAGTAACATTCCGCTGTAGTACTATGTAGCATTACTCTGAGGTACAAAGTAACATACATCTGTGGTACAAAGTAACATTCCGCTGTAGTGCTATGTAGCATAACTCTGAGGTAAAAAGTAACATACATCTGTGGTACAAAGTAACATTCCGCTGTAGTGCTATGTAGCATTACTCTGAGGTACAAAGTAACATACATCTGTGGTACAAAGTAACATACATCTGTGGTACAAAGTAACATACATCTGTGGTATAAAGTAGCATTCCTCTGTGGTGCTAAGTAACATACATCTGTGGTACAAAGTAACATACATCTGTGGTACAAAGTAACATACATCTGTGGTATAAAGTAGCATTCCTCTGTGGTGCTAAGTAACATACATCTGTGGTATAAAGTAACATTCCTCTATGGTACCAAGTAATATTCCTCTTAGGTGCTAAGTTACATACCTCTGTGATACTAAGAAACATTCCTCTAAGGTACAAAGTAAGATTTCTCGGAGGTATAAAGTAAGATTTCTCTGTAGAATTAACATTCCTCTGTGGTACTAAAAACATTTCTTTGTAGTATAAAGTACTATTCAACGAATTTATTATGATAAAATACTGATCAGACGAATGACCGAATATTATGCTGTTATTTTCAATAACATAACATTTGCTCCACTTTGTATGAAGCACAGTTACTTTTTCCCGTTAATATATAAATACCACAATCACCACAACAGCTGAAAAGGTGTGTTTATGTTTTAAGGTGTGGCAGCTAATGTAAGAGAGGACATGGAGTCGCCCTACTCTGTGGATATCCATATACGAGACAAGGGATTCCAACCACAGTTGAGTACAGCAGCAAACAGCAGTGATACGGTAAGGCGGTAGCATGTAACGATAGGATGTAACCTCGATAGTACGGACTGTTTTCATCTGAACAACTCCCTCATTTCTGATATAGATATGAAGAATCGCATTGTGCACTTTTGTCTCGATCTGTTTTACCAGTAAATGTATTCAATCTGCTTTATAAGGTTGAATGGTCCTTTATTACGCAACCTTGTGAATCCAGACGTCGGACTGGGGCACCTTTAAAAGAAAATATAAGATTCGACCTTCTACATGTAATTAAAGGGAATTTAATTTTTATTCACTCTTGTTGTCCTATCAAATGAACCTTTCCACTACTCCTCCTACGACATACCTGTGTGCTAATAGAGTAGATCGATCCCGAACTCCAGTCGTAATTGTTTAATGTGTAGAGATAATGTCACAATGAATTATCTAAAATGACATGTCGGTCAACACCATTATCAAAAGAAATTGAAAATATGCAAAATACGAGGGATGCATGAAAGGTTCTGAGCCTGCTGATTATTATTTCAACATTATACCCTCTAAGGTCTACGCACTTCTCTAAATGCTGCTGGAGTGCCTGGTTTAGAAGGCTTCCTTCTGCTGGTGTAAAAAGTCATTCACAGCAGTTATTATGTCATCATCCTTTGCATAATGCTTGCCAGACAGTTCTTTCTTCAAATTTGGGAAAATGTGGAAATCTGACGGTGCCACATTTGGTGAATACGGGAGATATTCAGTGTGTTCAAAGCCACAGACATGCATTACAGCCATGGTACAGGTGCATCATCCTGGTAGAATAACAGACATTTATTGAGGTCACCACGACGTTTAGCGTTACACTATATCATAAAAAGAATAGCAAATATTGGCCATTAATAGTCCGACCTTTCGGGAGGTAGTCCTCCAGTAGTATTCTTTTGGAATCCCAGGGAACCGAAGCCCTCACCTCGCCAGCTGTATGGACAGACTTTGCCTTCTTCGGGGGAGGAGACGTAAGATGTTTCCACTGCTTTAAAGGTGAACCCAAGTCTCATCCCTTGCGCCACCTCAGCTGGGTCTGCTTCAAAACGACGTACATTCTCACGAGAGATGATGAACCTGGATCCTTTCTGGTCAGGAGTTGGAAAACTTGGAACCCAGCGTGCTGAAACTTTTGTCAGGCCCAGTTAATTCCTATAAATGTCGCAACTCTCTTATGAGAGATGCCTATTGTACAGCGTTTTATCAAATCAAGAATGTTAAGGATTAACTATATATCCTTCGTAGCTCAGAACATTTCAGGCACCCCTCGTAGTTTTGGTAAGTTGTTTGAGTGATGTTCATATCATAGAGGTAAATACACTGATTGCAATCAATCAATCAATCAATCCATCCATCCATCCATCCATCCATCCATCCATCCATCCATCCATCAATCAATCAATCAATCAAGAGGACATATGCCTGTAGTACATATGAAAGAGGTGTCACACACACTTTTAACTATTATTTACAATTTTGGTTCTAACAGTGCGTGGTATATACATGGTATATACATGGACAAGTTTTGCATTACTAATGTATCTAGACTGTTTAACAATGGTCAGAATTTCACAATATTTGAATAATTAAAGTAGTAAACAAGAATATATTTATTTCTCACAGTGTAGACAATGGACATACAAGTAAAAGGTGATATGCATCTTGGCAATTACACATTTTACAAAGTCGTTCTGACCTTGGAGTTTTTTTTATCTCGATGCATAAATCGTGAACATCGTAAACTTGCCAAGGAATTACGATATTTCTTTATATTTCTATACATCAGATACTGTTCAGTGTATATATGAGTTTTCAACATCCTAACTATGAAAAAAAGCTTTGTTCGATAATGTCAACGAAATTGACGATTGCTGATAAATATATGTTAGCTTCGGTAGAAAAGAACTGATAAATACATTTTCAGATTGTACAGATTGTTCACACCAAACATGTACAAAACCACCATTAAATAAGGTTTTTTTTCACATCGGTTACCCAGTTTTTCTTTCCGTTCGTATCATATAACATCACCGTAAATAGAGGAAATCTACCACATTCTCCATAAACCATTGCGCTGGATGTGTTATTTTTTACACCAAGAAATCTTTCACATGCAATCAAGTGAACCTTTTGAAATCATTAAATTGTTTTACTTCCCATATTTCAGAACCGTAAAGTAAAATTGGGCTAATTTTAACATAAAAAAACTTAAAGAACTTGTAACTTATATCACAAAGGACTGGGATATTATTGAATATACCACATACAATCTTTTTGGACTGGACTGATGCATCTCTTGCAAGTGCAGACCAATTTAGATTGTTACTGAAATACACACCTAGACATCCATAGTGTGTAGCTACATTTAAAGTTTCACCTTGTCATTTTTGGCAACTTTACAACTATTTTTGAATACAATAATTTTAGTTTTGTCTCTATTAACAGTGAGTAATTTTCTAAGACGTCAATTTGCTTTTGCATTGTCACAAGCAGTGCTTGAGAAAATGACAATATCATCTGCAAATAATAAAAGAGAGTTGAACAATATCTGGTGAAAATTGAATACCGCTTGTGCAACGGTTATGGATTTCTGATACTAATTCATTTATGAAAAATGAAAATGAAAACGTATTCAATATACATCCTTGTCTCATGCCAAATTTGCATTCAAACATATCAGACATTAATCCTTGTCTCTTACACACGTTTTAACATTTTCATATATACTACAAAAACATGTCAATCATCCAAAAGCCCACGTGCAGTAAATAATCTCCATAATTTACACCTGTATATAGAATCAACTGTTTTAGAGAAGTCAACAAATAATGCTTTAAACTTCCCCATTCCTTGCTGATAAAGCGCTGCATCAGAGATTGCAGTATAAAGACATTATCAACTGTGGAATATCCTTCCCTTAATTCAGCCTGCGATTTAGAAATTATTTTATCCATGGTATTGGCCCAAGATACAAGTCTCTTATTAATAATAAAAGTAAATATCTAATGAAGACACACAAGACAGACAGAAATAAAAAAGAATGTGTCCGAAGCCTAGATACTGATTTTACTGCTCATCAACAGAACCCATCAAGCGAGAAAAGCGACAGTATTAATATATTTATTAACTATCTGTTTGGAAACGTCTCAGACATGAAATATAAGTTAATATAATGACATTGTTAACTATGTGGTAGGGATAAACAAGACGGGTCAATGGAAGTCATAACAACATGCAATTGGTGATAATATGTCAGTAAGAATACAAAGTTCACTGTCAACAGGCAATAGTCAGACTGCACTATAGAAGACACGCGCCTTATGTGAAGATGGAGCTGAATAGGAATGCAGCCAAATATTACAGGGTAAGCTAACTCTTTATTATTTGCTCACCTGGCCAAACGTTCGGGTCTATATCATAACACGTCTTTCCGTCGTCCGAAATGTCATCTCTGAAACCGCTGGACCGAGCATTCATGTTCCCAGCATTGAAACAACTCTTCATTGGTTATGTCGTTACTCAGTTGAATTAGGTTTAAGAGTTACAAAGAACTTATACACATTTCCAATTGTTGCACGAAATGTGCAAAATCTTGATGTCTATGTTGCCCCCGCAAAGGATTGTCATCTTAAAACAAGGGTATAAGGTTTCATACCTTCCAACTCTCCACTTCTGGCGCCAGACGCCAAATCTCGTATATCATTATTGTGAATTCTTAATACAAAATGTACTTCCGCACTCATCACTATTTAGGCCATGTCACGTCAGTTTGCAAACTTATCGAGTCTGGACGAGACAAACAAATGGTTGGTTCAATGAACAATATCTCACACCTTTAACGAACCAGAGCCGCTGACCACTTGTATTCGTCTCGTACGACAAGCATAGGTTGATTGTGCCACGTAATTCCAACGGGATTATATTCACATGAATATGTATCAACGGAGCACATCCCCAGTTCCCATGATGATTTGATTGTGATATTAATTTTCTACATTGACTACAGCTCGGCACTCTATCAACTCGCCCGGAGTTGGGAAATGCCAAAATCAACCACTACAGCATCAGTAACGCAATCAACTCCCCCGTTCCCGTAGCAGTGACGCCAGGCAAGGGGATTGTCTACGTTGTGGATGACCGTTTGTTGCAAAAGTTCCAGCACCGCGTCTTCACCGTTGACGTCAACGCCAGGACAGAGGGTGGTGATCTGTTGGTGAAAACCATCCAGGTGTCCATCAAGGGCGACGTCGGCAGAGAACTTGGAACATGTGGTAATTAACATTGACATCATGACTTTAATCATTTTAAAACTATTTAATACCAATTTCTTAAAGTGTGTATAAGCGAAATATGTTATCAGTAAAATACTAAATGACAAAAAAATAATACGTCAAAAGTAATGGAAATGATACAGTTGCCATGGACACCAGGTACAGGTTGAGCAGGACATGATTACCCTGTTCACGAACACCTGGTGGTATCAGTGATTCTCAATGACCTTTTCCCCCTCTGGAATCTATATTGGCACATAATGGAGGCTGATCATTCTTTGGCGTTATATCACTATTTACATACTGACCAAACCTTTAACTCGGGGCGGTCGGGTAGCCTAGTGGTTAAAGCGTTCGCTCGTCATGCCGAAGACCCGGGTTCGAATCCCGACATGGGTACAGTGTGAAGCCCATTTCTGGTGTCCCCCGCCGTGATATTGCTGGAATATTGTTAAAAGCGGCGTAAAACCATACTCACTCACACTCACTTTAACTGGGTAGCCATCACTTGACAATCCAGGGTCGTTTAAAATGAGTATTGATGTAAAACAGAAAGTCACTCTAAAAGGTATATTTTCAAAACTATTCACAATTTCTAATTACGAGGAACAATTACCAGATATTTAACATTACCTCTTGTCCAGAATACAAATACAATTCTAGGCAGAATCTAAGAAGACATTTTGAAATATTTTTGTTAAAAGCAGTCACTTCAGATCCAGTCACGACAACATTACACAAACAACCTTCAAAGAAAAGGTGAAGGGTTTGTAGGTGTGTGCTCTTCGAAGTCATAATATCAATATTGGCACTTGCCCTTAAGTATACATAGATATAGTTGTAGCAAAACGACTTCCTTGCGGGACCACTCTCCGTTGACAGCGATAACAGCTTGTTTGGAATGGACGTTTATCGGTTGTGCGGGTTGAAGGCTCTGCTGTAAATCTTAGCAAACTGACATGTGGTGATACCTGATTTGTGACGTGATGTGTGATGTGCAGTGATGTGTCATCACTGATTTTCGGTGGTCGATTCATATGGTTTTCACTGCTGTTTTCCCTTTTGCACCATGCATAATCTGTTTCGTCGGATGGTCGATACTTGTTGTTGTTCTCTGGCGTTGACGTTTTATATTTGTAAAATATGCACGTACATGATCGTTGGTCAATTACGGGAACGGTTTACTTCCAGACAGGAACCCGTCGTACAGTTTGAGTGGCACTCGTACATAATAGATTTTGAATGACCTGAATTAACTCGCTAGGAATGCCACTTAGCTCGTGCCTAGTTTTCCATGTCAAGACCATTTAATGATATGTGCCTCAGAATGGCATGAATTTAGAAAACATGAATCGGCTTTAAATGAATGAGATCCTGACTGTCAAGTATAAGAAATATCTATAAACGTTTTCGGAAAATAATTTTGAATATTTAATTTCGGATTTGAATTATTCAGTTGATAAAGTATTTGTGTACTCTGAGTACGCTTACGTCGTCGATCATTGGTTGATTCGTGATCGGCGAAAAGCTAGCTGCTAGTAATAATTACAATACTTAATTTTCTTAAACATGCACTTCCTACTTTAACCCGATGCTTTTTTTATTTTGATATGTAAAGAGGGATAAGTATCCGTAGACAAGGGCATGTGAAACGGAAAGATGTCATTACCCCAGAGGAAATCAGGAAGCCATGAAAACGGTAGACAGTGACCATCTTGAGCAATGTGGTTAGGATAAAAATATCCGCAACACACTTTCTATGACCAAATAATGTTTATCTATTAACAAATACAATCTCCTGTTCTCTTGTACTATTTGATTCCTTGGTTTCGTTCGTCCAATGGTATTACTGTTAACACATATTATCTTCACATATTGTTAACTTGATCCAAGCATTGTTACGGCTTACGCTGAATATACGTTCAAAATTGCTTTTGTGTAGCTTTTGATTTATAGACACGGGCGCGCGGCAATACATGTTAATGATATTCTTGATGTTCTGAGAAAGTATATGATACATAGCAATTGTTGCATGAATAGCTGTGTTGTGACCGGTTGTCCAGCCAGATCCTTTACCAAGTGAACGGCAGAGCTGACTCGTCAATTCATTCACATTGCCCTGTTGGATGTGCGATGACATTTGAATGATTATAGGACGCTTCGTATTGCAACAATCCCTTAGTTAAGAAATAAGGTGAGGTGAAATTGGGTTTAACGTCGCGTCCAAGATTATTGCACTTATATAGCGACGTGCATGCACGTGTATGTGTGTGTGTGTGGCTGCTTGTACTAGTCCGACTGATGCCGATTTATAGTGCTAGCTCACTGAGATACCATGCCGCAGTTTAACATGAATACCCCACTCAGACACAGTATACTGACTCCGAGCCGACCAGTCCTTGTTTTAGCCCCTTAATGCCGAGCGCCAGACAGGGTAACAACAAGTACCATCTTTTAACGTCTTTTTGTATGACGCGGCCCGGGATGGAACCCTGGACCTTCCGCTCTCCGGGCGGACGCTCTACCACAAGACCACGGAGGCGGTCCAGTTAAGAAATAAACGATGTGTGAATGAAGCACTTCAGGGAGAATCAACCAGGGACTGCGCAATGTTTTAATGTTTCACTGTACGATAAACAACTACCACTCGTAGCGTATTTCTCATATAAGACGTCAACATTTTGTACAGCCTCTTTAAGGATGTAAATAAAATGTACAATGTTTAAAAATATTTACCCGTACTTAAATAATGATGACTCCCTGAATATAATCTGACCTCGACAATGTCGTACATGTCCCTTTTATGAAAAGGGGGTTTAGGTCTGGTATTTCTCGGATATTCTCACAATTTTCACGTCGATTTTTTGTATTTTTTTCTCCGAACACCGATTGTCATATCTCTCCTATTATTTAATCCGATCGTTCGATCGCTGCGTTCATCTGCGTTGCCCAGCAACATCTATGGGGAACAACTCACGACACGCCTCCCTCCCTTCAATTTACGAGATTGTTAAGTTACGAGCCCTTGTTCGAATCTCCATAAATGACAGAACAGTGATTTGTCGTTAATTAAACCACGCCCAGTTCTTAATTGTTCTTTGCGATTTATCGCGCAGCTGTCTTATATTGGTCTTTATTTACTGCAGCGTATCAAAGAAATAAATAACAGGGAGAAGTAACTCGATCAAAAGGCAAATTGGTATCAACCATCCATCGAATGTGAAGGTCAGGTCAAAATATAGGTGGCTAGCAGACAAATAGATCCCATGACTGTCAAGGAAATACCATTGAAGTAACTATTTTGGATCCCTACATGGCCTTCAGACATCAAAATGAATATCTCCTTGATGAAAGATGTTTTCAGATCCTTCTCCCTGTCTGTTTCCAGGTGAAAGATAGGATGTTCTCAGTTCAATGACCTTGTTTGTTTCCAGATGAAGGGTGTTCCCAGTTCAATGTCCTTGTTTGTTTCCAGATGAAGGATGTTCTCAGTTCAATGTCCTTGTTTGTTTCCAGATGAAGGGTGTTCTCAGTTCAATGACCTTGTTTGTTTCCAGATGAAGGATGTTCTCAGTCCAATGTCCTTGTTTGTTTCCAGATGAAGGGTGTTCTCAGTTCAATGACCTTGTTTGTTTCCAGATGAAGGATGTTCTCAGTTCAATGTCCTTGTTTGTTTCCAGATGAAGGGTGTTCCCAGTATATGAATATGTCATCGTGTGAGAACAGCTGCGGACTAGGGACTGCGGACCGACGGTGCAGGTGGCGACCCGGCTACACGAACATGAGCAGGCTGTACTCCACTTGTACGTTCCTCTGGAGGACGTGTCCAGACAGAGTCTGTGACGAGCTGGAGCAGCTGAATGCCTATCTCTGTCCACAGGACTGCACTAACGGTATATGACCGGTTTTGTTGTGACACACTAGTGCCATACTTTAAACAAATCAAATCAATTTGTTTTCGACAACAATGGAAAGATACGAAAGAGTTCTTAAAACTGGGTCTGCCCTGTCAAATGTATTTGTTTGTTGTTTAACACCGCACTCAGCAATATTTCAGCTATGTAACGGTGGTCTGTGAATAATCCGGTTTTTGGCGTTGAGGAGATAAAAAAAGGGCTGGTCGTCTTAGGGTCAATATACCGTGTCGGTGATCAAACACACGCACGCCAGACGCACGCACGCACGCACGCACGAACCCACTCACGCACGCACGCACGCACGCACGCACGCACGCACACACACACACACACACACACACACACACAAACCAATGCAATTACCCTTATCGATCTTTCGAAAAAAAACCAAGTATTTAACAAACAATTCTTTTACAGAATCAATCATAGGCGAGACCCGTCCGACCACAGGGCGTGGCATTGGAATGGCTAAGGGCCCGTGTTGGTGTGACGGGAGACCGGTGAAGTGTCATTGTATGGGGGACTTGCGACTGGGCGTCACCCACACCGAGAGGGTCACTCACGTTGCTGGTACAGGTATATATGTCAATAGTCAAAACATATGGTGTCCACAAGTGTTCAAGCCTTGACCGGAATTAATCGGGAAATTCATAGAAACAATAGCACCAATAATGATGACACAGTAGTAGTGAAACAATTGATTTAAAGTTAACATGTTTTTTTCACTCATATCTATTAAAAATCATGTAAATATCCACACCATATTCAGATAGGATGGCTCCATTGTGTGGCCTCCCATAGAAACGGCGTTGATCTCATCAAGGGACGGTTTACCGAACAAATATTTAATAATGTATTGAAGAAACACGCTACTACATGTATATAACTTTGATACCAGCGCTATATGAATGCGTCCTGTTATTACAAACGCATATGATAATAAAGGTTATCGAAAGGTAATAATCAAATTATCAAATGGGCAACACTTTTAGAGCTACTGATGTACTTTACAGTTGCCGAGCAACGAGCAGACGACACCGATTCCTGCGGCAATATGTGCAAGGCATCTGTTGCTGCTTCCGTTGTCTGTGTAGTGGCTGTCGTTGTCGTCAGTCTTGTCATTTGGCTGGTTTGGCGTCGACGTAGAAGTCGTCGTTCACAGGTCCTGAAACATGTCGGCAGCATTGTATCAATGACGGCGTTGCCGTCTGACTACCTGGAGGACCGAGAGCCAAGGACGTCGTACCACACTAACCCCTCGCCGCAATGGTCGCCTAAAGTCACCACAGTACCCCCTGTCAGTAATGATCTTCGCGTAAGTGACTCTCACGTAACAAACACGCCTTTGTGAAGATTTCCAAATGTGCAATTGCCTTATCCGATTTTTACAATATGTTCCCGAGTTTGAACAAATGACTTGCCTTTGCATGTGTTTGTGATGGGTACCACCGGAAGGGGAGGACATCATGGTATCATCACTATTTGATACTGATTCATAACCGCATGCTTATTATAATAGTCGGAATCGTGCAATTGACAAAGATTTCTTATGATTGGATATGGAAAGGGTTTTGTGGCTTTATTATTATTATGATTATGGAACTTGTTTTGTCGCATTTATGTACGATACATTCATACGTTCGTTATATCCGTCAGTTCGTTATAAACGTGTTTTACTGTATTGTGGAAAGGGTCGTTAAGCTGTTATTTGATACACAAGTCATGATATGGCTTATATAGGGACCTGGTCATAACGGAGTTGTATAAGAGTTGGTTAAAAGTACAGTAAACTACGGTTATAACGAACTCAAAGGGACCACTGATTTTAGTTCGATATAACCGTAATTCGTTATAAAGATATATACAGCATATATACAGTAAATGGCCGGGACCAAAAGTATATCCGTCAGTTCGTTATAAGCGTGTTCGTTTTAAACGTAGTTTACTGAATGTATATTGCCGAATATGGCTACGTAAATATAACACAACGTGGTCTTTCAATGTAGTTCCAGTTACAATCACCTCAGACTGTAACTTTGGCTGCAGATCTCTCATAGTTTTCGATGACCCTCACAGTGCCATTGTACCCTGCCCTAAAAGACAAAATGCAAATTTCAAAGCACTTTATATTTTATGATAAAATGTCCTTTTTTTCATGACCCTCCAAAATATGTGTACTATTTTGTATGGCCCTTCTCTATAGATTGTCATATTGTTTGGTAACCCTCTCCCGATTCCCTCTGACCCATCCCACCTTATAAAAAATGAACCCTTCCCTTGGGCCTGCTCGAAGCCTAGGTTGTAGTTTGGAGTTTCATGTGATTCTTGGTAAGCAAGCGCCATTCCCGTGCTCCCGGGCCTCACAAAAGTGATCACTGCAGGACCTGCACCACTTCTGGCGTTCCTCCAACAGCCTAGTGGTTAAAATGTTCACACGTTACGCCGAAGGGTGTGAGTGAGTATGGTTTTTACGGCGCATTTAGCAATATTCTAGCAATATCACGGCGTGGGACGCCAGAAATGGGCTTCACACATTGTACCCATGTCGGGAATCGAACCCAGGTCTTCGGCGTGACGAGCGAACGCTTTAACCACTAGATAGGCTACCCGACAGCCCATGTTACACCGAAGACCCGGGTTCGATTCCCGACATTGGTACAATGTATGAAGCCCATTTCTGTTGTGCCCGCCATTATATTGCTGGAATATTGCTAAAAGCGGCGTAAAACCTTCCTCACTCACTCACTAATTTGTCGCATGGTTGTGACCACCTTTAACACACACTCACTCACTCACTCATGAAACACCTGCTTGCCCTGTATAGGTCGACAAGTGGGAGTTCCCCCGGGAACACCTTCACCTGGAGCAGACCCTCGGGGAGGGGGAGTTCGGACAGGTGGTCCAGGCCATGGCGTGGGCGATCTACGGGGACGACAAGTACGCCACTGTCGCTGTCAAGATGTTAAAAAGTGAGTTTGATTTGACATACAGTGTAGTTAACACAACACGGGTGCAAACAGGAATTATTTTGTTTTTGAAATAACATGATTAGAATTCGTGACGAAATATGTATGTTATATACTTCGCGATGACTATTCCCAGCTCGAACTCGCTGAAACTGTAAAAGGCAACTATGCTTGTCGTAAGAGGCGACTAACGGGATCGGGTGGTCAGGCTCGCTGACTTGGTTGATGCATGTCATCGATCCCTATTGCGTGGATCGATGCTCATGATGTCAATCACTGGATTGTCTGGTCCAGACTCGATTATTTACAGACCGCCGTCATATAGCTGGAATATTACTGAGTGCGGCGTTAAACAACAAGCAAGCAAAGAAACTCGCTGAAACTGAATATAAACCGCTAAACAGTCTCTTACGAAGGTAAGAATGAGAGGTTATGTATTGGAGTTTCGGCATCTTGTGTAACGTCCAACTCTTGCTCCAGCGGGGGGTTGTGGCGTAGCTTAGTGGTTAAAGCATTCCCTTGTCACTCTGAACACCCGGGTTCGATTCCCACATGTGTACAATGTGAGAAGCCCACATCTGGTGTCCCCCGCCGTGATATTGTTGGAATATTGCTAAAAGCGGCGTAAAACAATACCCACTCTTTCCGCAGCGGATGCCACAGGAGCGGAGTACCAGGACTTGTGGTCGGAACTGAATCTCCTCAAGGAGGTGAACCACCCTAACGTGATCCGTCTGCTGGGAGCATGCACACAGAATGGTAAGTACGTCCCGTGTCGACCGTCAGCGTCAACCTAGAGGATAGCAACTCAAGACGCATTTAAAGTCTTACTCCTTCTGAAGCAGTATTAAGACTAACTGATGGGCATTCTAGAATTTGGAGAGAAAACATGCAACTTTATGGATAACAACTGGTTTATTGCATTTAACGACATTTCGTACACCGTTATCATCTCGAACCACAGCTTTATAGTGTACGAATTAGGACTGCAACGATGCACCTAGGTCACGATACGTATCTCGATACTCACATCACGATTCGATACGTATCTCGATACGCTACGATACTCATAGTGACAAGAGAAGACAAGAGATAAATGAATGAAACTTAGTTGATAGAAATCATGAAAAATTAAATGAAAGTGAATGAGTCATAAACACATATACTGTAATGAGTATTTTTTAACTCAATGAATAATCTGCCATTTCCATGTAATGGCAAGCAAACACAAAAGTAACAGTCCCACATTGAGTAAATAAGTACCAGTAACTTGCAATTTTCACAGTAAGTCCCAGGTGGCTTCTCTGGCAAAGGACGAGCGTCTGCTTTTCCCGGAATGTTTGACTTAGAGACTGCTCAGCCAATCAGAAAGCTAGTACAGCCGCTGTATTTTTGAAGACGTACGAAAATTATATTGTCCCTACGTTGAAATTCATTTAAAACACATTCAAAACGTATATGTAATAAAAGTTTATTAAAAAGAATGTATCGTGAAAAATCGAGATACAGCACCTCACAAATCGCACACCGTAGCGTATTGAGTGAATCGCGATGCATCAGCCCTAGTACGAATCTACATCGAAACCTCTTAATGCAATAAACCAGAAGTTGTTATCCACAAGTTTGTGTTAAGATGTGAAAGGCAGCTATAGTTAATGGATATTACCTCAAAATACGTCAAAGTGGCTATTTGCTGTTGGAAATACATGATCTAATTAGGCCCTAGAACAAGTACTCATGCATGACCAGTTTGTATGCGTGTATTGACAGTTGCCGAGAATTGTGAACGGGTCGTTAGCTTTGCCCTGTAAATTCTCCATGGAGGTCGATGGAGAAGTCCTGCTAATGGTTCAAGTGGTGGCTTGTCGCACCGGAACGACCCCTGGGGTCATCAGTAATTTTCAGTGATCCATTCATATGATTTTTTACCGCTATTTTGCCATTTACGCCCCGTGAAATCTGTTTCGGCGTAACAGGAGTCCACTGCGTTGACGTTTAAAATTAACCAACTATGGTTACACTATGTGACATCCACCAATTCCTTTTGCCGCGGGACCCATGAAGATCCGGGGTAGAATAGGTCTTCAGCAACCCATGCTTGCAGTAAAACGCGACCATGCTTGTCGTAAGAGGCGACTAACGGGATCGGGTGGTCAGGCTCGATCACTTGGTTGATGCATGTCATCGATTCCAATTGCGTGGATCGATACTCATGAGGACAATCACTGGATTGTCTGGTCTAGACTCGTTTATTTACAAACCGCGAAATCATCCTTATGCGTATCGATCCATACCACATGAATTTTTATGGTTTGAGTACAAAAATGCCATCGGGATGATTTCTTTTTCAGGTCCGTTTTACGTGATTGTTGAGTACTGTAAACATGGATGCTTGAAAAGCTATTTACGAAGTGCACGATTTAAAGACCGGAAGAGCTGGGACGAAAAGCAAAAATCCGTGAATGCCGAAACTGTCCGGAATGAGACGACAGTTGTGCTTGCAATTCGCGATCTACTTTCCTTTTCATGGCAGATCGCTAAAGGCATGGAGTACCTGTCCAACATGAAAGTGAGATTTTTACCTTGTTGTTATTGAGATGGCGATATAAAGTATTTAGTATTCATCGGCATGTGTGTGGATTTCACATCATAACCACGGAAGTCGACCATAAACGATTAATTCCGTGTGTGTGATAAATATGCAAGAAAGTGAGATTTTTACCTTGCTCAATACTGGATTGAGATGGCGATATATAGTATTTAGTATTCATTGTTGCGTAGATTAATATGAATGAATCAAACATATATGTTTATGTTTTTGTTACTATTTTGTGAGATCAAACTTGCAAACTGTTTGTAAGCTGCAAGAACGCTATTTCATAGAAATACATTTAAACTTCTTACATAAAACGTACATGAATATATGGCCAGTGGACATCTGTTGTGAACAGTTGTGGCATGTGATTAGAGTGAGTGAGTGAGTGGTTTTACGCTGCCTTCAGCAATATTCCAGCAATATCACGGCGGGGGACACCAGAAATGGGCTTCACACATTGTACCCATGTCGGGATTCGAACCCGGGTCCTCGGCGTGACGAGCGAACGCTTTAACCACTAGGCTACCCGACCATACCGGCATGTGATGTGAGATGGGGCGTGGGTATGTTGCTGGATGTGACATGGGGCATGTACATATGAGTGTTTGTAAGTCGGGGCGTATTGGTGTAAGAGGGGATGTGATTGGATGTGAGATGGGGCGTGGGTATGTGGCTAGATGTGACATTGGGCATGTACATATGACTGTTTTTAAGTCAGGGCGTATTGGTGTAAGAGGGGATGTGAGTGGGTGTGAGATGGAATGTGGGCGTGTCTGATTGTTAGATGGGGCGTTGGTGTGACTTGGGGCGTGGACGTGTGTGGTGTTTGAGATTGTGCATTATGTGTATGTGAGATGGGGCATGGACATGTCTCTGTGTGTGAGTGAGTGAGATGGGGCGTTGGTGTGACATGGAGCGTGGACGTGCATGTCTCTGTGTGTGAGTGAGTGAGATGGGCCGTAGACGTGTGTCAGTGTGCGATGGGGCATCGGCTTGTGTGTGGGTTTCACATCATCACCACGGAAGTGGACCATAAACAGTTGAATCCGTGTGTGTGTGATAAATATGCAAGAACGATAGAAGCGTTCGTAAAATATAATGCTTCGTCATCTCTTTAACAGTTTATGAACAGTTGATGAGGTTGAAAGGATGTTCCACATGGTGTATCTTCAGCATCTGATGGGAAACCTTGATGAGAAATATTACCTGCATGCAATACGATGCATATTACCAGCTGTGATGAGTTATTTATGCTGCCTGAAGACCCACCGTAATAACACAGTAATAACCAAAGCAAATAAGTACGGAAGCGTAGTAGGCCCACATTGAATTTTGTCTGTTTTTGGGGAAGGAAGTCCTACGTAGGAGATAATAAGTCCTAGGTAGGAGATACTAAGTCCTACGTGGGAGATAGTGATGCTAGGCCATACTAAGTCCTACGTCAGAGATAGTAAGTCCTACGTAGGAGATAGTAAGTCCTACGTAGGAGATAGTAAGTCCTACGTAGGAGATACTTAGACAAAAAAAAATCACCGTGGCCCTACTACGCTTCCGTAAATAAGTACGTTGGCCCTCGTATTCAATGCAATGTTTCTCAATATCAATTTCACAGCTCCTGCAGAGATGTGGTAAACTCCGCCAAGACACGATAATAGCAGATCTCGGACTCATTATCGCCGCATTCTGTAGTGTTTTACCTGAAGCCTAGTGTGTAAAACAACCCCATCGGTGTTTTAATGTTACTGTGTACGCTTTGAAAAAGCACCTTTAAATCATTTTACTCGCTTCACCAGTCAGTTACTTATAACATAAAGCCTTTGATGGGCATTTAGAAGTTGGGAGTACATGAATACTTGACACTCTTTATGTATAGCGACTTCTTTTATTCTTTGTGTAAACATCATGATATAGATATAGTACGCTATGCACTTACAAAGCATTCGCCTGATGAAGAAGCAAGAAGTAGCTCTGAAACACCCTTACCTCTTCTCCGTATAGATCTCTTCTCCATATTTATTACTCCTACTCAAATCTCAAGAAAGGATACACCCAGTTTGATGGTGACCAGAAATAAAGACACACGAAAATTAAGTGAGTGAGTATGGTTTAACGCCGCATTTAGCAATATTCCAACAATATCACGGCGGGGGACACCAGAAATGGGCTTCACACATTGTGCCCATGTCGTGAATCGAACCCGGGTCTTCGGCGTGACGAGTGAACGCTTTAACCACCAGGCTACCCGACCGCCCCTACAAAATTAATGGTTACTCGATGCCGGTAATGTATTTTATACGGGTATCATAGTTGTGTTTTGGACCTGAAGGTTGCAGTGTCTCGGAGAGTGTTTTGAGCCTAGTAGGGTTTTGATAACGTTTGTTATGTTTAGGCCAAATCAAATTCTGCCGCTTGCATTGTCTTAAAATGATAATATATGAATGGAGTTTCGTTATCCATTGAACATTCGACTCTTGACGCCTCTTTTGTATTCCGGCAAGAATAGGTCCACAGCATACAATGAATATTGTAATAACATACTAAACTGATCTGGTGCTGTGTGACCTGAACGATTTTTTGCCAACGTACTCCGATGCCACTGGTTTATTTGGCACTTACTTCCTAAAGGCAAGAGCGTCCTATTTATCAAAGTCTTCACCCGGGTCACATCAAGCCCACTTTCCTGTGCTAAATATGATTGGACTATAGCACATATCGATAATCCAATCAGAGAAGTTTCATAAAATCAACATCCGGGTTCCGAAAACATGGCCGCTGCCATATAACTTGTCGAATTTGTACTGAAGTTATTTTAACAATTAAGCGAAGACAAGCATTCTTTAAGTCTTTCCAAGTTTTAAATCAGTTCGCCCAAGTACTGTGATTTTAAGCGGTACGATAATGAGAACAGTCAGTAAACCCAAGTGTTAGACAGTCGTATGAAAGTGATTTACCACTGCCTGTCCTTGTTGATACAAATATTTCTTCTCCATCTTTTAAGCCCCTCAACGATTTCCATTCTTTGTCCGTCAGGGGTGAAATCGTGAATGTTTTCGTTATCTGAACGACCAGGCCGTCGTCTATGACGGTCGCCATCTTTGTTAAGCAATACAGAGATCTGATTGGGTATCGCGAATGTTTATTACAAGGGGCACAACTTGTCATCTACGCGAGGTGGCGCCACGATCGAGCAAATAACAGTGATCTTGATGTGGCAAGGGTAGAAACAAGGCTTTGATTTTGGCTAGTGGACACGCTTGCCTCGGGAAGATGATTTGGCACGGTCTTCATCATTGACAGGCCGCGGTCACTCTACACTCAGGCTAGTAGATAGTTTACAGATATATTTCTCAAAACTGTTGATCTGTGGTCGAAATTAAAATAAAATAAAAAGTAAAAATTGCTCTTCAATTGTGGATTTGTAAGAAAATATGATCGGTAGGAAGGAAATGAATACAATTTCAACTTTTCTACTTTCTTTTGTGAAATATAACAGGAATATCAAACATTTTACACCGTTTATATTGGACCAAAACCACACACTGTTTAGTGACCTAGTGAAGCTACAAATAGTATTTGATCGAACAGTCATGGGTCGTTGTACATATACCCCTTGTCTCAGGCAGACAGGGAAACAGTTTATGTTTCTATCATAAGGGTGATTATCAGGTTCGACGTTAATGAAAAAAACTTGAAACAGAATTATATTTTTTCCTACAATCCTGACTTAAACGGACGTGGATCCCTAAGTCAGGTAACAGAAAGTAGAACGCCTGATGTTCTCCTGTAATCTGTACTCCCATCCTTCTATCAGTTTGTCCACAGAGATCTGGCAGCTCGCAATGTACTTGTGGGAGACGGGCGTGTCCTCAAGATATCAGACTTCGGGCTCAGTCGGGATGTGTATGAAGCCGATGCATATCTCAAGATGACGAAGGTATGTTATCCTGCAATGGCTTTAGCATATCTGATCATTATCATATTTGACATCTGAGTTTGCAAGCTGCTGGTCCGTTAAATCACCTGGCAGACAATATGTAGAGGTGATACATACTTCTCTAACTTCATCGTTAGTAAAAACCTAGCACGCGATCAACAGCACATGGTAATATGCACTGTTAGGTGTGTACTCGTTTGCTGTGCGTTCAATAGTACTCATGGTTAGGGAGTGAGCGAGTATGGTTTTACGCCGCTTTTTTTAGCAATATTCCAGCAATATCACGGCGGGTGACACCAGAAATGGGTTTTGTACCCATGTCGGGAATCGAACCCGGGTCTTCGGCGTGACGAGCGAACGCTTAAAGCACTAGGCTACCCGACCGACCCGCTAATGGTTAGGGATAAGATTTAGCCTAAAGATAAGTTTTTTTCGCCAAAATCAAACGTTATTAATTTTGTTGAATTGTCAGAATAGTTCCTTTATAGGCAAATGTAATTGGGACAATCATCTATTTGTTTGTCCATCGTTAAAATACAAGTCTCTTTTTAGTGAAGTCAATGCTAACAAGGTGAACTGTTTTTCATTTCCAGGGCCGTATCCCCGTGAAGTGGATGGCCCCAGAGTCGCTGTATGCACAGATATACACAACCAAGAGCGACATGTAAGAACACCTTCTGTCTGACTTACTGACATAGAGCAGTAGGAGTCTAGTTTCTCATTAGTCTAGTTACTAGTTTTGCCATTGGGCGCAAAAGGCAGAATAGCGGTAACATTATATCAATGGATCCCTGAACCAGCTATATTTCAGCTATATGACGGCGGTCTGTAAATAATCGAGTCTGGACCAGACAATCCAGTCATTGACATCATGAGCATCGGTCCACGCAAGTCAGCGCGCCTGACCACCCGATCCCGTTAGTCGCCTCTTACGACAAGCAGTGTCGCCTCTTACAGCAAGCATGGGTTGCTGAAGACCTGTTGTCAGCCGGATCTTTACGGGTCCAACACGACACTGGGTCTGACAGGGATTGTTATGTTATTGCGTTTTTGTAGAACAGTTCTTGTAAAAGAGGACATGAATAGGGTCAACGCCACAGAAATGTTAGTCTCGATTATCTTCCGAAGCAGATTTTGTTTGGTATAATGGGTAAAATAAAATATGAACAGATCACTGACCCGCATAAATCTATGTTCATGTAGTCGTGTCCTGAGGTGGAGGGTTGCTCGTAATATCAACCCTTTGTTTGACCGACTACATTACATACAGGCCGGCGTGGCAAATCTGTTTAGCGCTGCGTCTACACAGCTCAGTACTCCCTTGTAGAGATTGATGTCAGATAGCATTTGGAAGATTATATGACGCTTCTATCGATACTTTGTTTACTTGGTTGATAGTACTTGGACGCTTGCAGGGAAGATCCGGGGTAGAATAGGTCTTCAGCAACCCATGCTTGCCATTAAAGGTGACTATGCTTATCGTAAGAGGCGACTAACGGGATCGGGTGGGCTCGATGACTTGGTTCAGGCATATCATCATATCCCAATTGCGTGGATCGATGCTCATGATGTCAATCACTGGATTTTCTGGTCGAGACTCGATTAGTAACAGACCATTGTCGTATAGCTGAAATATTGCCGAGTGCGGCGTTAACAAACAAACAAACAAACTGAAAGCAATGTGCAATGTTTGTCTTTCTGTGCTTGATATGCATACACACATAAACTGAAATGTATCATTCACAACTTGTTTAATCCTCCTTATAGTAATACACGTCTGATGTTGAAACGTACACATACACAATTATCAATTTGTTGATAAAACGACAAATACAGCGCAAAGCAATTTTGGAATTTCTTTTGTTATTAAATGCTTATTTGTATATACTGTCATTGCCTTACAGAAGGAATAGATGTATTGTAGAATTTCTGTACACAATTAATTTTTTTGAAAAGGAAATACTTGTTTTCAATAATCGTGGAATAATTATGAAAAACTGAAAAATATAGCTATAATAATATCATTTTGAAAACGCAAACCTTCTATAGTTTCTTGGGTATTTTACTTTCAAATAGACGTGTATTGTCAGTGTAAACTCTTTCATAACACAGTTGCAGTTGAAACTAAAATATCTTGCACCTACAATTCTAATTAAATGTTTGATTTACAAATAAACCGTACCCTATTCTATTGTTCTGAGATACTGGGTTGACATGACTGGGATAATTTGGGAACGTTTCCTCACAAAATTGTAAATATGTCCTTGGTGCTGGAAGGTTTCCCACAAATGCAGATGTTTTTTTATATTTACTATAAATCTTTCAGAATGTGTATAATATTAGTATAAACTTGTATGTGTGCCGTATGATTAAGATGATACCAAGCTGAAGGAACGTCCTAAGCACCGTTGAACCTAACTCACAGATGTGGAACCTACAGTTTCATTACATCACTGATAGCATTATTAAACAAAGCGGCACTAAAACAGAAAACAAAAACAAAACAAAACAAATCACTCACTCATTACGGCTCGTTCGGCCGGCTTACAATGAATCATACATGTACTGTAAGGGAATCATACATGTAATGTAAAGAAATCATGCATGTACTACAAGGGAATCGTACATGTACTGTAAGGGAATCATACATGTACTCTAAGGGAATCATACATGTTCTCTAAGGGAATCATACATGTAATGTAAAGAAATCATGCATGTACTACAAGGGAATCGTACATGTACTGTAAGGGAATCATACATGTTCTCTAAGGGAATCATACATGTAATGTAAAGAAATCATGCATGTACTACAAGGGAATCGTACATGTACTGTAAGGGAATCATACATGTACTCTAAGGGAATCATACATGTTCTCTAAGGGAATCATACATGTAATGTAAAGAAATCATGCATGTACTACAAGGGAAACGTACATGTACTGTAAGGGAATCATACATGTTCTCTAAGGGAATCATACATGTAATGTAAAGAAATCATGCATGTACTACAAGGGAATCGTACATGTACTGTAAGGGAATCATACATGTTCTCTAAGGGAATCATACATGTAATGTAAAGAAATCATGCATGTACTACAAGGGAATCGTACATGTACTGTAAGGGAATCATACATGTACTCTAAGGGAATCATACATGTTCTCTAAGGGAATCATACATGTAATGTAAGGGAATCATACATGTAATGTAAGGTAATCGTACATGTACAACAAGGGAATGATACATGTACTGTAAGGGAATCGTACATGTACTGTAAGGTAATCGTACATGTACAACAAGGGAATGATACATGTACTGTAAGGTAATCGTACATGTACAACAAGGGAATGATACATGTACTGTAAGGGAATCGTACATGTACTGTAAGGGAATCGTACATGTACTGTAAGGGAATCATACATGTTCTCTAAGGGAATCATACATGTAATGTAAAGAAATCATGCATGTACTACAAGGGAATCGTACATGTACTGTAAGGGAATCATACATGTACTCTAAGGGAATCATACATGTTCTCTAAGGGAATCATACATGTAATGTAAGGGAATCATACATGTAATGTAAGGTAATCGTACATGTACAACAAGGGAATGATACATGTACTGTAAGGGAATCGTACATGTACTGTAAGGTAATCGTACATGTACAACAAGGGAATGATACATGTACTGTAAGGTAATCGTACATGTACAACAAGGGAATGATACATGTACTGTAAGGTAATCGTACATGTACAACAAGGGAATGATACATGTACTGTAAGGGAATCGTACATGTACTGTAAGGGAATCGTACATGTACTGTAAGGGAATCGTACAGGTACAACAAGGGAATGATACATGTACTGTAAAGGAATCGTACATGTACAACAAGGGAATCGTACATGTACAACAAGGGAATGATACATGTACTCTAAGGGAATGATACATGTACTCTAAGGGAATAATACATGTACTCTAAGGGAACCATACATGTACTACAAAGGAATCATAATGTATTCTAAGGGAATCATACATGTATTCTTACGGAATCATACATGTATTGTAAGGGAATCATACATGTACTGTACGGGAATCATACATGAACTCTAAGGGAATCATACATTTACTGTAAGGGAATCATACATGTACTACAAGGGAACAATGCATGTACTATAAGAGAAAGTTGGGACGAACCATTTATCATTTACCCCCGGGTGGTAAATTAATCATGCGAACATGACAGTATGCTGGTGTGTTGACAATGGGGATGCTTTGATCACTACAAGATGATTACCACAATCATTTTCTTTATCCCCCCGTGAGCACTCCCAGACGGAATAGATCCGCGTCTCGTATTTGCCGTGTGAGCCTACTAATATTGCGATCGGATCGTTGAGTTGCCAGATAGTTTGTGCGTCCTCGTTCCTCGCGGCCCATGGCGTGGACGATGTCTCATGCTGTCAACCATTGGTTTGTCTTATCAAAAAGAGTATTTGCTCACTCGTTGTTGAAATTATATTCCACTATGATATTATATATATAGCTATCCATAGTGGGAGTCAGACCAAATAATTGCAACTTGAACGTTCATGATGTAGCTGGAATATGGCTTTGCTGGGCATCCTATGCTGACTAGCATCGTCCCTTAAACGATATATTGAGTTAACGCGAGTTCATTGGATACAACATCGAATGGACATATAAAGAAGCCAGTCATACTTCGGGAACTGGTATTCCTCTATTCCGCCCGTAGGTAACTTGGCTTGTATACCTCTCAGGAAGTTGAGAATGATATCTGGAATGCAAAACGGATCAACTGGTCGGGGAACAAACAATTCGCATTTGAGCAGATATTGGGCAGATATTAGTACCTGGATACCTGCGGATAACAACAACAACAACAACAACAACAACAACAACAACAACAACAACAACAATAATAATAATAATAATAATAATAATAATAATAATAATAATAATGATAATGAGACTGTCCAACACATTGTCAGTGGATGCCCAACTTTGGCACAAACACAGTATCTTAAGCGACATGATGGAGTGGCTCGATCATTTTATTACCGTCTTCGTCATGCTTGTGGTTTTGACACCATCCATGGTACGACCCGGAATATGTAGAGGGCGTCAAGGATAAATACAAAATTATTTGGAATAGGCCCGTATACAGCCTCAGACGTATCCAGGCCAACAAACCTGATCTTGTCCTTTTTGATAAATCCAATGAAATTATTTCTATTATTGTATTTTATGTCCCCTTTGACACCAATGCGATTGTCAAGATTCAGAAAAAACATGGCATATGTGCAGACCTCGCGTTCGAAATGTCACGCTTGCACCCCAAGTACCAAGTTGTTCGACTTTGTTCTCCCCATTGTTCTCGGTGCCTTAGGTTTGTACCTCCCATTCGCTGTCTGGGCTGCGTGAAGAGGGGCCAGGGGCCCTGATCTGATGATAAGCCTAACCAGCCTGACTGTGCCAGGATCACCCGGACCCTCTTTGCTTCATTTTATATTTTACTCTGTAAATAATAATAATAATAATAATAATAATAATAATCGTGTAACAGTACACTTTGCGATCGCAGACATCAGTAAGTTGTATCACGTCAGATTGTAAGATGTACAAACATGTCTGGAGTTGCGCACCAGGTCTTATAGTGGCCTCATCGATCCCTGTCAAAGTACACCCCCAGGGTAGGTATACACAGTACTCATACAGCCAGATCACGATGGAGAGTGGTTTCAAGGTATTCTATCCGAGCTGATCCGTAATTGGTAGTCGATGCCCTTTTCCTAATGTTATAGAAAGATGAGGGTATGGCAGTGTGCCTCTTAGAGGATACTACCGTTGGGAACGTCTATACGTTATTAACCTGTATTAATCTGGACATGTCTCATATGAAAAAAATTAGTTGTCTTGTTTTCTTTGCGTTCAGCCTGATTTGTATCATCATTTCAAGTGATGTTTTATTGTGTCTTGTTTTCTTTGCGTTCAGCCTGATTTGTATCATCATTTCAAGTGATGTTTTATTGTGTCTTGTTTTCTTTGCGTTCAGCCTGATTTGTATCATCATTTCAAGTGATGTTTTATTGTGTCTTGTTTTCTTTGCGTTCAGCCTGATTTGTATCATCATTTCAAGTGATGTTTTATTGTGTCTTGTTTTCTTTGCGTTCAGCCTGATTTGTATCATCATTTCAAGTGATGTTTTATTGTGTCTTGTTTTCTTTGCGTTCAGCCTGATTTGTATCATCATTTCAAGTGATGTTTTATTGTGTCTTGTTTTCTTTGCGTTCAGCCTGATTTGTATCATCATTTCAAGTGATGTTTTATTGTGTCTTGTTTTCTTTGCGTTCAGCCTGATTTGTATCATCATTTCAAGTGATGTTTTATTGTGTCTTGTTTTCTTTGCGTTCAGCCTGATTTGTATCATCATTTCAAGTGATGTTTTATTTGCAAACATTGTATATGATGTCTGTTAATGTACCGGTTTAGGAAACAGTCAATGTCTAAGTTTCAAACAAATCTGGACCTAGACCGGACATTAGGATCAGGCAATAGAGAAAGGTCTCCCTTTTTTAGAAATCTTGTAATCGGGATCGGGATTACTCACAGCACTAGAGCGTGATAGGAAATTCCTTGTGCAACACTGACATTTTAAAGCTGGACAATCTTAAACATTTGGTCCTGGCTTCGCCATCTTCTACAACACACGTATAAATGTATTTACACATTGTCAAACGACCAACAAGTCATTATCCTCAACAACAAAACTTTTTGGACCCAGTCAGCTAATCAGATTCTTAATAAATATCCCGTACTTTGAATCCTCGCACTCTATAGTCACACCTAGAGAGTCCGTACTTTGAATCCTCGCACTCTACGTCCGGGATTCGTACCCACACTGCCAGAGTGAGGCACCTAATCGCCAATTTACACTTGTCAGAGGGGTACACAAAGTACGTAATCTACACTACCAGTTGTCGGACTTTCATTTTTGCGGATGCCTCGGTGGCTGAGTGGGTTAGATCGCTGACTTTATGTGCTGTCGATTAGGTGCCTCACTCTTGTAGTGTGGGTTCGAATCCCGGACGGGACGCAACCCAAAAGTACGAGAATCTGTACTTTACTAAGAAAGTGTTATCCCAAATATAACAGAATTTTTATAGTGTTTACCTTTTGACGGAGAATGTGCCCCTTAATCTCAGACACCTCTATGTTCATTTACAGATGGTCGTTCGGAGTTTTGCTGTGGGAAATGATAACATTAGGTAAGTAGAATACATACTCCTTATCGACATTATCAACATGATTGTCAGCCCTGCCTCATGATAGAATTTTAAATGATCTGAGTTTGGTTATATATTCCTATATTAAATAATGTGCTTGTGACATTTCGTTACAGTATACACGTTGCAATAAAGACAAACAGTTCCTCATACTCTCAGCTGGCCATATCAGCTATGGTCGCCGAGACCAACAAGGGAACAACGTGTGAAGTCAAATCTTGGTGTCACATTTTGTGATGCTGCTTGATTATCCCTAAAAAACGGCATAATATCGCACTCATTCATCTTATATGGGGATTGGATAGGTAGACAAACTGTACTGCACATAAAAGTGATATCTTTCACACATTCAAAGACAGCCGTCATGTAGCTCGAATATTGCTGAGTGTGGCGTTAAACGACAAACAAACAAACAAACAAACAAATTCAAAATGCCAAAGCCAGAAAATAATCAGTCTCGATTATTAACCGAAACAGATTCTATTTGGCGTTCGGTTATTGGCCAAACCATATTCAATTTGGCGTTCGATTATTGGTCGAACCATATTCCATTTGGCATAAATTATATGTATGAACCACAGAAAGTCAGTGATGACACCAGGTGTTATCGAATAGAGTAAACATGTCCTGCTCTACCGGTAGCACCTGCCATTCACAGCGTTTACTTAAAATAAGTGTTTGTTGCCCAGCGCCGCCCAATCAATACTTCTGCCATACGATAAGTAAACATTCAAAGACCAAGTATCAATAAATTGTAAATTACAGGAAGCCTCTCTTGAGTACTTTCTATGACCTTTATCAGGAAGAAGTTACAAATGCACTAAGAAACCTACCGAGAGGTGCCTAAAAACATACAGCATTACCAAGAATCCACAAATAGCCACAGTTATAGTGAGTGATTGTAGTATTCGCGTGTTTGTTTACTGAAAACTGTCTGAAATGTGGCATCACAATTGGTTCCTGTGAAACTATCATCGAATGTTTCAGTGATTTTTAAGCTTATTGTTTTTGACACTTAAGGGAGTTATCCGTCACCGCCGAGTAATCGCATTGTCGTGAAGGCAGTAGTTGTCCAGATGTATTGCACTGATAAGGCCGTTCCCTGAGTCAAGTGGCTTTGCGGTAGAAGGGGGACCGTCTCAAGGGTGGCGGTCACATCAATTCTCAGCTTGGGAGTGATTTACTCTTCGCGATAGCATCTTCAGGATGGGTTCCAATAAATCCTGTGGACATCACTGGAATGTTGCGATGATATCGGAAAAGCTTATCGTTGCTCTGCAGGCAGGAAGGCATTAAGCCTGACCAGTAGTTGTTCCATGATGGTCAAGAGATGGACGTTCTGGCGTCATCTCCACCGGCAGCCATCTCGGCATCGCTACATGGCTTCAATAAGCATGGTACCAGCATTGGGCCTTCCACCAATCTGCTCACCGCTGTCACAGTAAGACATGTATTTGGTCGATTCACATGGGCATTATATTTCCTGACATCAAGTCGATCTCATGTGATGACCCTATCAAATAATTCTGCATATTCTGAAAGCAATTATTTTGGATCATTTTCAACGCAGGATTTATGTTCTATGTGTGTGTCGCTATATATTAGGTTTTGTACGTCAACACAGTGGAGGTAATGTTGAACCAGCGTTAACGATAAATCATATTCAGACTGGCACGAGAACATAAGGATCCGTTTCTCTGGAGGATGCCGCGGGTGGGGAAGATACGTTCGCCTTTTCTCGAACACCTGGTTTCATCACTGTTCGAAAGGGATACATATATTAAACATATACTTATGACATAGTCGTAGTCGTACAATTAACTCTGCTTTAAGCAATACGAGTGAGTGAGTGAGTATGGTTTTACGCCGCTTTTAGCAATATTCCAGCAATATCACGGCGGGGGACACCAGAAATGGGCTTCACACATTGTACCCATGTCGGGAATCGAACCCGGGTCTTCGGCGTGACGAGCCAACGCTTTAACCACTAGGCTACCCGACCGCCCCTTAAGCAATACGAAAGACCAGTGAAACCACCTCATCTTTTTCTTATTCAGATCTATTCATAAAGATTGACAAACGAGACAAAAATCTATCCATAAGACATGTAACATGAAGGATGACTCCTAGACCAACGTTCCCTCATGTCGAGCAATATTCCAGCAGCTCCGGCCTGTGGTTTCTAAAATTAATGTCACTCTTTAGGTACAATCGAGGATGCTCTTTCAATGAAGAATTCAAAGATTGCCATACGACTCTTGCTCAAACAATGTTTGATCAGGCTTACAACATTCAAGGCATTTTTAAATCTAACAGACGTTTAATGGCAGGTGAAAACTTGACTTGCCTTTGCATGTGTTTGTAACGGATGCCACTTTTGAATCAGGACATCATGATATGATCACTATATGATACTGTTTCATAAATACATGCCAGAGATTTCTTATGATTATGGAAAGGGTTCTGTTGCTTTTATGATACCTTGTCCTCTTTTAGCTTGGCAGCAAATATTTTTTGGTGAATTGACTTAAGCCCAGTATCATAACTATCAACGTTCCATCTGAGATTAATCAAACACAAATCTCTCTTCTTCAGGAGCCAGCCCGTATCCAGGAATCGCCCCGGAGCGACTCTTCAGCTTATTGAGAACAGGCTACCGGATGGATCGACCAGAGGACTGTCCCGAGGAAGTGTACGTTACATTGACCATTTTCATAAACAGACTGACCGCCTTCGTGGTCTAGTGGTAGAGCGTCCGCCCGGGCTCGATCCCCGGCCGCATCATACCAAAAGACCTTAAAAGATGGTACTTGTTGTAAACCCTGTCTGGCGCTCGGCATTAAGGGTCTAAAACAAGGACTGGTCGGCTCGGAGTCTCTATACTGTGTCTGTGTGGGGTATTCATGTTAAACTGCGACTTGGTATCTCAGTGGGCTCGCACTATAAATCGGCATGAGTCCCCCCACCCCCACCCCCACACGTAGCTATATATGTGCATAATATTGGACGCGACGTTAAACCCCATTTCACCTCACCTCAATTGAGTAGCCCCGTCACTTCATATACTTTGTCTGAATGGGGTATTCATGTTAAACTGTGGCATGGTATCTCAGTGGCCTAGCACTATAAATCAACATCAGTCCGGACTAGTACAAGCAGGCACACACACACACACATACACACATACACACACGTGCATGCACGTCGCTATATAAGTGCAGTAATCTTGGACGCGACGTGAAACCCAATTTCACCTCACCTCATAAAACACATTTTGTTTTCCACGTAGGCTCAATCAGAAGTTGCAGCTTTTTTTTCAACATAATTACTTCTTTGCACGAATGCTAACAAATAATCACGCCTTAAAATATACATTTACCTGACGTATAATGTTTAGAAGTGTTGCATGATGATTCCCCTCCACAGATATGATTTAACAAAGGTTGAGGTGCACGTTTGTTATCACAGACATACGGCAAAGTTGTAAATTAGTGTTTTTATTTAACTGTAGAATGTCGATTTAATAATGTTTGTATCTAAAACGTTTTCTTTCAATTCAACAACCGTTATTACATGTCTTTTTATGTGAGTGTTCCAAGAAAACGATAAACAAAGGTCATGTTGTCGAATGTAAGATATAAACAGGCATTCTGAACTGATGGCAGGGCGCGTTGTCCGATTGTTTCTCCGCCGAGCTCTTCTGAAGGGTTGAGTCTGATACAATCAGAGGACGCCTATGGGCATAATGTACTCAGATTTCCTCATGGCGTTAAAATATAAATTCAAACTTATTTTGAAGAGAACAAATTTTGAAAAATCTTAAAGAAATATCTAATCGGGCACAAAAGGCCAGGGATACTGGAAATTGCTAAGGTCTGATCTTCTCCGTAACGAAGGGGTCAGAGAGCTGAAATTTTGGTCCGATATATACAAATGATTTAATTAGAGCATGTAGATGAAGAATAAAGCGTTTTTCTTAAATTTCAGAGATCGTACTGACATGACTTTTTGTAATTTAATAAAAAGATAATTTTTTTTATTCTTTTCGACATCATATGCACTCCATTTGATCATTATTGACGCTGTATCGAACATCATTGATGCATCACGAAACTGCTTCAGCAGTTACTCATGGTACTATCCTCACAACAGTCCACATAACACCCTCAGTCTGGCTCCCCGATGAGTTACAGTGCCGTGGTTGTCACTTTGCATTAATCGGTCACTATTGCTGAAAGTACATAATTATGTTTGAGCGACTTCAGGCGTCACGTGTCGGTCTTAACATCGTTTTGATGATATGATAGCTTGACTTTGAAGAGTTTAAAACCTTCAACTTTAATTTGGTTTCAAGAGATCCAAAATAATGTGAATGAAAACAGCTTTTCTTAATTCTATGTAAATGTTTATCGCATGGGCTGAGTCATTTACGATTGACCTACGTACAGATGTTGTAATATATAACCGCAACTGACTTCATCTGAGGCGAAATGACGAACATAAAATCATGTTTATGAACGATAAGAAAGTGGAATGTTCTCAGCGATATCACGCCAGTAATAAACGTAATGACCTTATATCTTTTTAAAGTTTACAACTGAACTCGTTAGGGATAATATGGCGCATATATCTGATTACAGTAAACTACGGTTATAACGAACTCAAAGGGACTACTATTTTTAGTTCGTTATAACCGTAGTTCGTTATAAGCATATATACAGTATAACTACAGCAAATAATCGGGACTAAAAAGTTAGTTAGTTATATCCGTCAGTTCTCTATAAGCGTGTTCGTTATAACCGTAGTTTACTGTATACTAAATGTGACGGTGCCACCGATGGGACAGGATACGCTCACCTTTTCGCGAACACCTGTGTCATCACTATTTGATAGTGATTCACATGCACCTGTTCATGATATAGTCGGAATGTACAGTCGACTCTGCTTTTGGATTCAGAGGTTTCTATTGACTATGGAAAGGGTTTTGTCGATTTTATTAAACATAAATCAATCGTTTCAAAATGTTTTGTCAACAAGAGACCCAAGGTATTTGATGCCCTTACTATACCCGTAACGTCCATATTCATTGGTCATTGAAAACCTGTTTGTATGGAGCGCTGGGTGCATGTCATTTTGTAACATATATCCGTTAACATGCTCATTGAATTTAGAATTTAAAACGGAAGCCACAACCCACTTTCACAAAGTTTTAGTAGAGTTAAGACGATCGTTACCCACATAATTTAGACCGCCTCCGTGGTCTAGTGGTAGAGCGTCCGCCCGGAGATCCCCGGGATTCGATCCCCGGCCGCGTCATACCAACAGACGTTAAAGGATGGTACTTGTTGTTACCCTGTCTGGCGCTCTGCAGTAAGGGGATAAAACAAGGCCTGGTCGGCTCGGAGTCAGTATGCTGTGTTTGAGTAGGGCATTCATGAATCCTACATTCCTACATGCATTATAAATCGGCATCAGGGCTGACTAGTACAAGCAGTCACACACACACACGCAAGCACGCACGCACACACGCACGCACGCACACACACACACACACTTGCATGCACGTCGCTATATAAGTGCAGCAATCTTGGACGTTACATACTTTAACCTCACCACATACTTTAACACGAGACTCAAATAGTAATAGTCGTAGCGCAAACACTTTAGGTGCGTCTACTTGTGTACAGACACATTCATATCTGCGACTCGTGTTTCATGTATGACTGTATCGTTATAGTACAACTCTACGAAGAAAGTGAAAAAGAAAAAGTCTTACAAATATACCATAGTTATTGATGATAAGGAATGTGTTCATGAAACACTTTGCACCGTTGCACGTGCATCAGCGTGATTGTGAGTTTCCATGGTTAAATTTACATGTGGAATGAGGGATTCTCCTAGAGTTCAACTTTCTCCCATTGAAACAAAATTCAACTGTAAGTCGTATACCCCAGCACTATTAAGAATGATTAACTTTGGAAGCACTTGCAACAAATGTAATTTTTGGGATAACACTTTCTAAGTGAAGTACATATACCTTTAATAAAGCCGCAACGTTCCTGGGCAGTTGCCACATGCTGAGTTGATGAGGCTGTTTGAAGTTATCAAGTGTGAAAAATGCATATGCATATCGTGATAAGCTCAACACAAACATACTCGCCAGTGGTTTATGTGGCTTGTGACACGAGGATATTTATACATGTGGAGGCAGCAACATTTGTTTTCAAGACCACACATGTGGTCAGTTGCGAATTTCTTGTCTACCTATCAATGGCCTCAAGAGTCTTGTTTGATTGGTGTAGTTTGTCTTTCATGTTCTCACTTCTTCGACTTCTTTACTGCAATCTGGTTGACGCCTGGCTGCCCTGTGCTGAAATAGCAATCATCACTTGAAAACTCTTTCATAAATATGTCTTTATGTTCTTCATCTTAAAGATAACAATTGTAAACTGAAAGTCAGATACAGTCCTTTCAGTGTAAATATTTGGTGGGTATCGTGCTCGGTGGACATTCTATACTACTCAATAGTATTAGAGATATGATGACATTTCATACTGGTGTATAAGCAATCAGTGTGTTGTATCATGCAGAAACAGCAATATCCCTATCGCAGTTGAGTGGTATATACATGTTTGTTTATCTGGAGATATCGACAAAGGGTACTTGAGTTTTCTTATTTATCTACGTATGTATATTTTAATCTAATACAAACAATATTAACTTCATCAAAGACGATGTCAAAAAGTCTGACAAATGGGGATAGGCTTCAGACAAATTCATTAATGGCGATATGACGAATTGTGAGTTTATCGTGCACGTTTTTTTCCGAAAGAACAACGCTTTTTTCTTCAGAAGATAAACAACGAAAGGAAGCATCCAACGGGCTGTACAACTCCTTGTTTGACAAATACGTGTATATCTACAGAAGTAAACGGGGGCCTACTGAGAAATTTTTCCCACGGGAGAAATATGAAACATCGGACAAATATAGTCTGGCATTATTGTTAACATGTAGCCGTGATATACATAGACTAGTGTCCCGACACAGACAAGTGAAGTCCTGACACAGGCAATTGAAGTGCCCACACAGGCAAGTGAAGTCCTGACACAGGCAAGTGACGTCCTGACACAGACAAGTGAAGTCCTGACACAGGCAATTGAAGTCCTGACTCAGGCAAGTGAAGTCCCCTCACAGGCATGTGAAGTCTCGACACAGGCAAGTGAAGTCCCCACACAGGCAATTGAAGTCCTGACACAGGCAATTGAAGTCCTGACACAGGCAATTGAAGTGCCCACACAGGCAAGTGAAGTCCTGACACAGGCAAGTGACGTCCTGACACAGACAAGTGAAGTCCTGACACAGGCAATTGAAGTCCTGACACAGACAAGTGAAGTCCCCTCACAGGCATGTGAAGTCTCGACACAGGCAAGTGAAGTCCCCACACAGGCAATTGAAGTCCTGACACAAGCAACTGAAGTCAGGATACAGGTTATTGAAATCCCGACACAGGCTAGTGAAGTCCCGGCTCAGGCATGTGAAGTCCGAACCAGTTTATTGAAACCTTGACACGGGCTAGTGAATAACTGTCAAAGGCTAGTGAAGCATCGATCCAGACTAGTGAATTAGCGTTACAGGTTAGTGAAGTCCCGGCTCAGGCATGTGAAGTCCGAACCAGTTTATTGAAACCCTGACACAGGCTAGTGAATAACCGTCAAAGGCTAGTGAAGCATCGACCCAGACTAGTGAATTACCGTTACAGGTTAGTGAAGTCCCGGCTCAGGCTTGTGAAGTCCCGACACGGGCTAATGATTTAAAGACACAGGTTAGTGAAGTCTCGATACGGGCTAGCGAATAACCGATCCAGACTAGTGAATACTGACACTTACTAGTCAAGTAACGACATGGGCTAGTGAAGTACGGAGACTGCAGGCTAGTGAAGAACCGACAGAGGCTAGTAACACGACTCCATAACCCAGTAGATATGATGCTGTTTTTGCGTAACATTTAATTAGTGAAACATGTTGAGATTTGAACAGCTGTTAATTTTCAAAATAAACGTCAAATCTTTCTTTGTTTGTAGTTTTGACAGTTATGTTTTCTTGTTTTAAATATGACCGTATTAGTAACTGCACGCTTCCAGTACGAATCCCAGTATAATAATATATCTACCATCGTAGCAACACACTGACAGGAAACCATGATTGATGCTCTATCTATGCTGTAACGATGCAGAGATGTATAACTCGAAGACAGACTGACAAGGAGATGACGGTTTCGCTGCCACGGAAACGAGAATATAATAACATGTTTACATATAAACGACGTCAAAGACCCCAGAAGCTGGTTTTACCTGTAACAGGAACTAAAACATAATTCGAAAGAAACACATGAAACTTTTAACAATCATCATATTAATGTAATAAGCCTCAAGACAAATGACTAAAATTTCCATCGGCACGGCTTATAAATAAACATGTTACAAAAGATGTATTCATCGTGATGGTCCTGATGAAGCTTGTTTCACGTCTTTCCAATTAAATTAATTAAAATTACAATAGTGTTTCCTGTTAAGTAACATGTTAATTGTAATACCGGGGGTATATGCATCGTCGAAGTATTGCAGGAATTTGCATATGTAATACACCTGGAAATAAATCAAGCACCACCCATATTTTCATGAATGAATCAATTTACTTGCGGCCTAATGAAAAATGCTTTCCAGATAACAGTATCCAATGATGTTTACTGCTAACCAGAGTCTACGATCATGAAGAAAACAAGGGTTTGATTGGGAACAATGGCATTTACTGTGAATTGTTGGCAGTTTGAAGAAAGACGTTATATTCACCAAACATAAAGTGGAATTTGCCATTGTGGCACAATAATTACTGAACTGCTTCAAACCAGTCTATATCAGCAGGATCCTTAACCAATGTCAGTAGTTGCAAGAAACACAGTTGTTGTTGTAATCACCCTGCATGCGAACGACTGCCGCCAGACGCCTCCTCATTTCATTAACCAGACGTTGCACTTGACTTTAAGGTATTTTAGCCCATTCTGTTAATTTTGGACAGGTGAGTCTCTCTGTCGAACTTGACTTCCTTAAATTCCACAGATGCTCTAATGGATTAAGATCTGGACTTTTTGCTGGCCAAATAAGTGCCTCGATGGCATTCTGACGTAAGCACTCCAGAATAGCACGTCATCTGTCAGGTCTGACACTATCATCCATGAAGACTGGTCTAGTAGCCAACACATGATGGGGGATAACTGCCGTCTTCAGGATGTCATGCTGAAATCGAGGTCCCCTGCACAGTGATCGAGCCAAGTTTACAATTGAAGGACACACATCCTCATACCATTACCGTTCCCCCACCAAACGGATGGGTCTCAAGAATGTTGTGTGCAGCCATTGTGGCTGTATTGACTGCCTCCAGAAACGTGTACGGCCGTCTATCGTGTGTAACAGAAACCGACTTTCATCAGAAATGGACTCTCCGCCATGAAGCAATATTTCAGTTTAGACGTTGGTAAGACCATACCGAACGAACCATTTCATTGGCCTGGGTTAACAAGGGACGTTTGAGTGGTCTTCTGGCTCTGTATCCAGAGGTGTTCACACGTTTCCGATGGTTCTGGCTCTGTCCGGTAGCCGCTGTGCTTTAAGACTGTATCATTGTCAGATGGACGGATGGTGACGTCCACGTTGACGCCCACGTCCCTACAAGATATTCCTGCATTTTCCCTTCCGATAACCTGCCATCTTAACGCTTCAGACAATCGACGACGTGCCATGATAATGCTTTGTAATGAGCATGCAGCCTGTCTTGAGGAATGTGTACCTGCAATGTTCACGACCAATATGTGTTTTCAGACGTTTCATGGCATGGGTATTGTTCTGCACGTGTAGTATGTGCAACGTCAGGCTCATCGACAGTGGTGTTGACAATGGTATGATGTGGGAAAAGGACCATAATATCTAATATATGGATACAACTTACTCATTTTTTAAAACTTATCATTCTGTGTCATTTTGATTTTGGTGCATACATGCCAGGCGGTCTAATAACTGGTTTTAAAGGAGACACAAGACGGATACTACGGGTGCTAAAACGTCACTGCCTTAGGTGTATATCGATGTATTCATTCGCAGTCCACTGCACGTGAGTCCAAACAAAATGGAGGGAGCATTTAACCTAGAGTCACACTTGTAAAATAATTAAGTTCCAAATCATGTGACATAAAGTATAATCGATATAAAATGCATCGATTGAAGTATAACAAATACCACTGCGACTACACTCTCAAATACACATCCAAACTATCACACAAAATGTCTATCTACTCGTGTACACACAGTCACGAACAACATATTTTAAACAAAAATGCATACATACGTGAATCCTACATTCACACAGCCATCAATCCACCCCCATCCCCCCCACACACTTCCAAACATACCTACAGAATATCCACCCACCGTCCATCCATCCCACACACCACCTTCCCCCACCCCATTCCACATACCCTGACCACCCCTACATGTGAACATGCACTCACACACTCCCAACACACCCTCACAAATCCACCCACAAATCGCCCATCCGTCCTTCCATCCCCCACTGCACCCAAACTCACTCCATCCCGTCCCCAGACACAACACTACACCACACCATACACCATATCCACCTCTACACGTGCACATACACTCACACACGAGCCCTCCCGCACACACATGCATAAGTGGTGAAATCTTTGATAGAATATTTGGTTTAGAAGTTGGGAGAACATGCATTAATGACATTTTTCATGCGGAGCAGCTTCTTTTATTCTTTGTCACGACGTTTCGGGGCAACTTCTTGCTTCTTCACCTGATCAAGGAGCAAAAAGTAACTCTGAAACCTCGTGACAAAGAATAAAAGAAGTTGCTCCGCATGAAAAACGTCATTTGTCATATACGTGGTGAGATCAAAAAGCACAAACAATGTCATATGTGGCATTTTCATTTTAATACATGCAAGCGAGGAACATGAAGTTAGGATCCTGCAAACATTTGCAATTTATGTCCTTGTCAATGGATCCATGCTTCGAGAATGAAGATGAACTGAGACTTTCATTCCAGGTATGCCATCATGCAGAAATGTTGGAAGTCAGAACCTGAAGAAAGGCCAACATTCCACAAGCTAGCAGACATACTTGATACCATGTTGCAACAAAGGGAGGTAAGTGGAATAAGGGGAGGTAATATACCACATACTATTTCACATAGAATAAATGCCGTCGTCCAACGGCTTACTTGTTGGTATATTTTCGTCACATTGAGGAGCAAAGGTTCGAATCCCAATGTGTATTACTTATCTGAAGTCCTTTAGTTGTGGTACACGCCGCGATATTGCCAGTATATTCATAAATTATATATTCCGACTATATTATAAGCACGTGTTTATGAATCACGACCAGGTAATGGTGATACCAGGTGTTCGCGAAAAGGTGAACGTTATTGAGAATCCATATGGTATTAATTCCACTTGTATATATTATGGAAAGTCTGTCCTTGATGCTATTGTGTTAAATGTAATTAGATTTTTAGACAGGGATTTGGTGTATTTAGGATGACACATGAAGTGTTTATCCTAACTGATGCAGAGTCACACCCATTTTCTTAGCTTATATTTAATCATACTATATTTTCCGTTGCAGGGTTACCTAGACCTGACCGACGACACGGCGTATATGGAAGACAGATTAAATTATTTAGGTCAGTGATCTCTGGTTAAATAGATAATAATGCCCCCTGAAGCAATATCATTCGTAGTTTGTGAGACCAGTGAATTCATTGCTATTGATTCTTCTCAGTGATGGTCGATTGGTGGTTAATATGGGAGCGGGTCAGAATGGCTTCATGTTAAAACGGCCTCAAAAGGTAAAGGTACAAAAATCAAAGTAAATTGATGAGATTGGTTAAAACAGCATATGAGCTCTACTGAAGATATTACATTGTAAAAAACCCAACATCTAACATGTATACTCTGTCCACACCCTGCTCACATCGAATATTCATTTATTATAATCATGGACATTTTTACTTTTTTTGTTGTGACCGTTATGACTTTTTTGCTCTGGCCGTTATGACTTTTTTGCGTGGCCGTTTTTACTATGGGTTTGTGGCCATTTTGACTTTTTCGTGGCCGTTTTTTTATTTTATTTTTGAGGCCGTTCTGACTTGAGGCTGTTTTGACTACAACCCTTTAATATCACTACTTTGATGTCGATCGTCTGGTTTCATAAGTCTTGATGTCCGGTCCTGGTGGCTGAAACATCTGTTTGCCAAACGGGACACCCGGGTTTGATGCTCTCCACCGTGATTTGGCTGAAATATTGCTGAATGCGGCTTAAAGCAAACTCAATCATTCCGTTATTGAAATTGTAACTACTAATTATTCAGGAAAATTGTCTTAAATGTATTTTCTAGTTAAACATAAAAGTTTTGTTTATATAAATAGTATACACCATATCGGTACCAATAATTAGTCAAATAAATTTGGTTCTTCGATGTGTTGTTTCGTGATTGACATTATTATTTATGTTTCGACTTGATAGAATAACTAATGCAGATGAAATCTGTAAGTCCTCTCTGTTTCCCTGATACTGTATCTTCTGAAATGGCACTTAAATTTTTTATTTCTAATAACTTTGAATATGAAATAAATGTGCATGTGAATAAGTATAAAACAAGGAGCACTGTCATTGGTGTATATTCGGCAGACAGTACCGACTGGCGTGGTGAATGGAGCGACTACGAAGAGGGTTACGGTAGCATAACAGTACTGAGGCAAACGGGGGACAACTACCTGACCGCCATGTCTTGTGGGGAGGGGGAGACTGATGCTGGAGAGGAGGGCAAACTGCTTCCACCATCGCCGAAAGGTAAAGACATTCTCAAGCACTTGGACAACAAGAAGATGTCAAACACCAACCGCGAGGAAGACATTTGGCTTTTGAAAAACTCAAAGGCGGACTTTAATAAGGGGAAAAGCTGGAGGGACAATGCCTATGAAATCCACTGTGTCTGAAGTTTACTGTGTATGGTATTCGTAATCGAGATGTTACTTACCTCACGTGTAGGAGGCACACTTGAACTTGGAGACCGTGTGACAATATGATAAATGATTGCGTATTCTGTTCCCTGCACTGATTTGGATAAAAGCCACCATGGAGAAGAATAATGCATAATATTGACGAATATGCGACCGTGAAATATCATCAAATCAATACCTACATATATGAATATTATATTTATATGGAGATACCAGTGCATTTATATTGCAAATTGTGACTCGAAAGTACACAAGTGTTTAATACTCTTGTCGTGTTCCTTACTTTGTGGTGCTCTGATCTTGTAGAAGACGAAATGTGTCGCACGCCTCCGTACAGTGAAAGAGCTCTATTGTTCTTAAATGGACTACGGCCTGTTGTGGAATTGTATAATAAGAACGTGTTTAATAGGGGCGTATCGGCGGACTACCAACATGAACTTTCAGGACGTGTTAAATTAATGCATAATTTAATCACCAGATCTGTAATAGTTCTGTAATGTGTATAGATGACATATATTCATTGTGTAAAACTCAGAATTCAAACTGAACATCATGTACATTCATCTGTTTGTTGCATCTGATGTTAATAGTGAATACTGACACATGTAGAAGTTCTGAGACCTGAATAATTACAAAATGTCACAGCTGACAAAGCAAATAAATAACTATCAGAATGACTGATTAGTGTTTCAGTGTAGTTCAGAGATTATCACGAACTACTGTCGTGCAGATTCAAATAAATGTAGCATTGCTGATATTGAGCACAACCGATTTTGCTGCTGTCTGTTCTGGTTAAGCTGTATCAAGTTCTATTTTGGAAATGTTATATGAGACAAATGTTGAAATGGCTTGTTTCTGTTACGAAACTACATGACACGCAACATTGAAACACTACACCAGTCTACATTACAAAGTATTGAATTGAAATTGTCGATCGATGTATTTGTTAATTCCCAGCACGGGCAATGGAATAACTCTCAGGTTCAAATATCGTTTTCTGAGATCTTACTGTAATCATGACTATCTTTTGTGCTATAAGATGCCGCACTAGGATACATTTAATAACGTTCAGCTTTCCATGATGTATTACCGTGATCAAATTATTATACCACGTTTTTATCCACATTATCAAATGATTAGCGAACACACTTAATTATATATTTTTTTAAAAATGCGTCCATGTTACCAAATACTTATTTGTGCTAAATAAGCTATTCTTTACGATACAGTCAGTTGTTGCTAGCTGTTGTTCCTTACTGTGTTTATTTCAGGTGTATGTTGACATATTTTATAACTATATGTATGTGGTCAGCATTGTGGTTTGTGTATTACATGAGATATTTCAGGACGTACTCTAACACGGCAGCGCTACGAGGAGGTAATTATTGGACATAACATGTTAGGATCATTTTCACCTTGACTGATCCATTAATGGTTAACCACTGGCTAACCCTTGACTCTAACTGTCGTATCTACTGGTCACATGCAATAAATACACTACTGTACATGTTTAACTGCCTTAGCTACGGCTTACGTTCATTAAATACACAACTGTATAACTGCTATAGCTCGTGGTTACATTCAACACATATCCAACTGTTTAACTCCTATAGCTCGTGGTAACATTCAACACATATCCAACTGTATAACTGCTATAGCTCGTGGTAACATTCAACACATATTCAACTGTTTAACTGCTATAGCTACAGCTTACATTCAACACATTTCGTACTGTTTATCTGCTATAGCTACAGCTTACATTCAACTCATATACAACTGTTTAACTGCTATAGCTACAGCTTACATTCAACACATATACAACTGTTTAACTGCTATAGCTACAGCTTACATTCAACACATATACAACTGTTTACCTACCATAGCTACAGTTTACATTCAACACATATACAACTGTTTACCTACCATAGCTACAGTTTACATTCAACACATATACAACTGTTTACCTACCATAGCTACAGCTTACACTCAACACATATACAACTGTTTACCTTCCATAGCTACAGCTTAATTCAACACATATACAACTGTTTAACTACTATAGCTACAGCTTACATTCAACATATATCCAACTGTTTACCTACCATAGCTACAGCTTACATTCAATAAATACACAACTGTTTAACTGCTATAGCTACAGCTTACATTCAACACATATACAACTGTTTACCTACCATAGCTACAGCTTACATTCAATAAATACACAATACTTTTGGACCGCGGATCATGAGCGAGGTGAGACAATCGACAGTGGGGAAACCATTAATCTCGCAACGCGATGGAAGCTGTATTTCCCCAGCCATACATGTCACTGTTCGATCATTATAGGGTTAGCTCACTGGCACTGAAAAAACATCACCGTTCAATCGCAAATGAGGTAAAGTCAGTAAACACAACAATGTTATTCTTGTTACACAGATGAGTTTTACTGTCAGTCTGACCATTGCAATTGAACCGTCACAGATTTTACATAAACCATGCGTGTTGAACCGAACAAGGATATCATTCATTTACACTGTATGTATTGAACCAAACTGATGGGACTTACACTCAAACAAATCTTTGGCATCCTAGGCCAGGATATTCTGCTGTCCTGTAACGGGATGCTGAGGTTATATCACAGTATAGTTGCAGATGCGACACAGGGGACGTTAACGTTATGTCACACTACAGTTGCAGATCCGACACAGGGGATGTTAACATTATAACACACTAAATGTGCAGATTCGCCACAGGGGATGCGAACGTTATAACACACTAGATGTGCAGATCCGCCACAGGGTGTGGGAACGTTATAACACACTAAATGTGCAGATCCGACAAAGGGGATGCTAACCTTATATCACACTATCGATGAGATCTGCCACAGGGGATGCGAACATTATAACACTAAATGTGCAGATCCGACACAGGGGATGCTAACCTCATATCACACTATCGTTGCAGATCTGACACAGGGTGATGCGAACATTATAACACTAAATGTGCAGATCCGACACAGGGGATAAGAACATTATAACACACTAAATGTGCAGATCCGACAACGGGGATGCGAACATTATAACACACTAAATGTGCAGATCCGACACAGGGGATGCGAACATTATAACACACTAGATGTGCAGATCCGCCACAGGGGATGCGAACATTATAACACACTAAATGTGCAGATCCGACACAGGGGATGCTTACCTTATATAACACTATCGTTGCAGATCTGCCACAGGGGATGCGAACATTATAACACACTAAACGTGCAGATCCGACACAGGGGATGTTAACGTTATACCACACTACAGTTGCAGATCCGACAAAGCGGATGTTAACGTTATATCACACTGCAGTTGCAGATCCGACACAGGGGATGCTAACCTTATATCCCACTACAGTTGCAGATCCGACACAGGGGATGCTTACGTCATATAACACTACAGTTGCAGATCCGACACAGGGGATGCGAACATTATAACACACTAAATGTTCAGATCCGACACAGGGGATGCGAACATTATAACACACTAAATGTGCAGATCCGACACAGGGGATGCGAACATTACAACACACTTAATGTGCAGATCCGACACAGGGGATGCTAATGGTATATCACACTAAGTGTGTTCCTCATAATAAAGAAGTTGACATCCATATCTTCTCTTCCTGACACTATACTTGCCGGTCCGACACACGGAAAGTTCTCACAAGCTATGGTAGTCGAACCCTACAATTAAACTATTATGTCAGTCCGGCCATTGGTAGAGCTTACAACCACTTGTATCATTACTGCTAAATCCAGCAGAGTTAACCGTTACCTTATTACCACCAGATAGAAGGGCTGGCGCTAGTTCCAGTAAGCTCCCGACCGTCACAGTGACAGCTTCAGGCGCCCATTTCCGTTCTTGCAAAACAGTTTTGAATGAACTGTATGTCTAACGAGATCATTACAAAATTTAAATGAATTGTTTCACATTTGATGCGATAATGATTGAGCAATACGAATGCCTTTTACCTCATACATAAAATGAAGAGTTAATGCATGACAATTGGTAGCCACCTTGTGAAACATGGACACAGCCAATACCTTGTGATGACAGGTAGAACATCTGGTGTTCCAGGGGAACATGCCAGGTCATAAGCTGTCTGTGTTGTGTGTTGAGTTCATTATTCAGTTTTAGTATTTATTTGTCATAGGACGATGATTTACATGAAGGATTTTATTCGAACATGTTCCCATTAGCCATAGGTTCGAAGCTAATCATATCATTCTAATTGATATATACAGTTGCAGTTGATAATGTTCACCGACATGTACAACACCACTCTAGATGGCAGATCGACATGATAGTTTAGATCATCAAATGATTGGCTTTGAAAGTGTCTTAACGCAACATACACTGTGTGTTCAGGATATGTACCAGTCTGTTAAAAGATCTGTCTGAAGACTTATTTTGTACTGTAATTGGATTTATGTTATGTGAGAGGTGACACGTTAGGGTGTATGGTTTAGGTACTAGTGTAAGACATTGAGAAAGTATTGGAACCCCGTATTTATTCGGGGCGGTCGGGTAGCCTAGTGGTTAAAGCGTTCGCTCGTCACACCAAAGACCCGGGTTCGATTCCCGACATGGGTACAATGTGTTAAGCCCATTTCTGGTGTCCCCCGCCGTGATATTGCTGGAATATTGCTAAAAGCGGCGTAAAACGATACTCACTCACTCACCCCGTATTTATTCATTATTCGTTTATTCCTTTGGTTCAAATTCCCCCCTCCCAATTTAGTTCAATCAAATATGTGTATTACAAGTTAACCACTGATTTACTCGTCATTTTTAATGTGAAGTAAAAGTTGCGAAACCTTATGTTTCTTATACTAGTATCCACGATGCTGTGCACTCAGAATGTGGAAACGTTTCCCTTGAAAGATTTCTTTGTACATTCCAAATAAATAAATATAATTCTAAGGTGCAGTGTTCACTTGCATTTTTTATGTACATGTATGTATGCACGTATTCATGTAACAGATACAAACGTTGCCACGTGAACACTGAAACATGGGTCACGACGTCACAAATTGATTACATTACGTTCATAACAATCACCCAATGTGTTGTCGTCATTTTCTCTCTTAAACTTACAGTGAGAAGTATAAAGAGGATATTATGTGAGTGTTCATGTCATGCCATGTCTAAATCATGGTATTTCCCGAGCATGAGTATGAATATAATATATGACAGGAGTGAGTGAGTTGGGTTTAAAGCCGCTTTTAACAGTATTAGTTATATCGCGGCGTGGCAGCTTGATTTTGGAGGAAAGTCCAAAGTGATGCAGGTCTCATGTTTACCACTTCGGTGAAACCCACGAGCACGGGTATGGTGCTGACAAACCTAGAAACATAATCGGGGCGAACTGGGACGCAACTCTGCACAGCGAATTTCGGCGCCTTAGACGACAGGGCCACCCGTGCCCCCTGTATGGCATGAACACGAATATAATGTTCTATTTATTACCGAAGAAGATGTCTATAAACAGAGACGAATTTTAGTGTTTACCTATAAGACAAGCGGAACCACAGCTATGACGTCGTTTCTAGTGTGACGTCATTCCGACCCCACGTCACAAGATTCGAATGAAGTCAACAATGCCGTCCGGTTGACGGAATCAATGCACAGTTGTCTCGTGACGTCATATAACCCTAGGGCACATATGATTTTCATGAACCCTGATATCTTTGCCCTCGTAGGTAATAAATAGAACAAACTACCCGAAGCTCGAAATTCCGAATGATCTGCCCACTTGAATGAATGCTGTACCTCGCCAAACACTTCATTATATGAATTTGACACCGGCACATCTCTAAGCAGTAATTCACTCGCCAGTGTCAAATTCATAAAACAAGGACACAGCCAATCGCGAGCTACAGCTAGATGGGTATATACTACATCATGATCAAGCAACCTTTATGACAAGGCCTGATCATGGCTTCTGCTAAGAATACACTTTATCATTCTAGTGTATTTGGCATTGACGTCCTGAGGTCGGATTGTTCATGGTCGTGTGATCACAATATATACGCAGTGTTATTACAGAAGCTCCGTGCTAATGTCTTGCAATATCATTGTCTGCCAGTACAGACAAATTGGTACCTGACACACAAACCTGAACTGTTGGGATGCAGGGCGGTCAGGATATCACGAGGCCATGTTTGATTTTGATATGTTTGAAATGACAACGTTGGACTGTTTAGCGCAATTTATGCGAATCTTGGATTTGAACCCGCGATCGTGGCACACCAATTTGACGCCGAATTGATATTCCCTCCATAACTGGAGCTCTCGTGTCGTGGCTATATAGTGTCTTGCATCATTATCATAATAATATTATTCACCTAAAATTGTTATACCAATGAGTGACCCTTGATTATGTGGGGGACTTGACACTTTTTGTTTAAAACGCCAGAGAGCTTTAGAAATGATGTACCTTTTTAACAACATACCACCTATATACAATGTTTGTAACGTTATATTTTCCAGCTGAAAGAAACTGCGTTTCTAAAGACATTATAGGCATCTACATGTAGGGCTTTAGGTATGAAGGACTACATTGACAGTGACATTCAATTATGAAGCGAATCCTTCCAGTCATTTTTTTACATAGTGTGTCGTAAGAACGAGTGATTACTATCACACATTTCCCCCTTGAGTGGAGGCCAACACAGACTAAGTGTATCTGAGGCTTGCAATGGGACATTCTTTGTTCTGCGTTGGACACGATTCGTCTCGTGCCAGAGTTGAAGTCACATAATCATAATATTTTATCGTTATTTATTATTATACAGAACTGTTACAACCTCCAACAGAAGGATCGTAGTGATGGGGCTAATCGTTGACAACTAAAGTGCGCTGTATTGTTATCCTATGATGTTTAGCGACCATAAATTGGGGGTAACGAGTGCGTTCCCCTTCTTGTTGCATAACTTTTGTTTAACGCAGCATATGTATTGACTTGTATATCAGTGAATGATTTTTCTTTATGCAGCTTTGACCTGTATTTCAGTCAATTTTTCATTGGGGGAAAAAGTCCGAAGTGATGTAGGTCTGAGACATTTACCACTTCATGGCACCACAGCACGGATAAGGTGCTGACAAACCTAAACCCATAACCAGGACGAATCTGGGATTCGAACCCACGAGAATAGGTTTCTTGCACGCCTAAGGGACCCCACTGATAGAATTACGGCGCGAGACGACTGGCCACCCATGCACATAAATCGTTTACGAGATAACAGAGCAGAATCTAATCACATTTACTTCAACCAGAGTAAGTTAATGATCAATAAACTACTTTCATGGTAATGACTTTCCTAAATAAAATACTCAATACTCGGTTGTTTAGCCAGACGCTGTTGTGTACACAGCAGTAAAATTGGTTAGCACAACGTTGGAGGTATTGGGTATCGACATGCTCCAACTGTGGACAGACAGACATTAATTTCCTGATCATGAAACTTACATATGTGTTCCAATTCATTTAAGCACTTGACTACGAGGAACTGACTTCGCTTATTTTATAATCAGGGCGATTCCGGGATTTAGACTCGCGGTCGGGAGACTGGTACGCTTAATTGACACAAATGTCTGATGAAGGTTAGTTGGGTTAATGTAATTTGTATATTTGTATATTTGTATATTATGTATCTCTTCTTTGTACTCTTGTTAATAGATGTTTTTACTACTTGCCCGTGAAGAGATCACCCGTTTAATAAACATACAGCTGTATTACACATTGTGTAATACCAAAACGCGTGCTTGTGTACTCACGGAACACGTTTCACGAACAAATATTGAAAGCTCTCAACATCACTTGGCTTATTCAACGACATTGCGTGTGGAGTTGATAGATCAGTGAGAGGAGCGTATGCACACTCGATGACCCTAGCAACCTTGTTGACGTCACATTGCATTGTTTCGCCGATGGATCTTGCAACACAATTCCACAAATTACGTCATCGGGTATTGTGACGTTATTGTAAACTTTGAGGTGCAAGGCCCGTTCCACAAGGCGATCGTATTGTAGTGCAACGACAGTCGTTAGTCTAAGTTAAAGTATGTGAGTTACGATAGTCTTAGCCCTACGATAATTTTGAGAATTTTAAAGGTGGACCGTTGTATGGTATTAAATTCATACGTTTCAACTTTTGACGTGTTTGAAGTATTATTCTGTTAAACTCAATTGGACTATGCCGTGGATCGTGTAGGTGTCAGCCTATTCATACTCAACAGTATAATTAAAAAACCCATTATAAATGGCAAGTAATGAATAAAATACTAAACTTGCTCCCGTGTAAAACCACTCGCTCGTCAGATACCACAACTATTCACTCGCTTCATAAAATTGGTATTACACGGGAGCTCGTTTAGTATTCTATATGTCTTCACCAATATTATGAACTATTTTAGACCACATTGCTACCGTGATATTCATTCAAGAGCTTTGGCTGGAATAATATCATGAAACAAACACGCTGAAACAAAGACGTACAGATATTTATACATGTATGTACAGCTGACCTATTATCATAATATAATTATAAGCAACACCAATTTGCCTGGACAGTGTTTTATTATGTTTACACCATAATAATGATTCAGCGTGTGTGTATTTGTGGCTTATTTGTAAGGCAAACTGATTTCCTGTATGTTTCTATGTTGGTGGTTTGTTTACATTTGTGTCAGCATCTATAAATAAACAAGATGGAGCGCAATCGCGGGGTGAAGCGCAGGTCAGTATTCCTGAGTAAAGATGTCTTGATGAATAGCCAAACGTTAATGCATTCTTCCCTTTCAGAGAATGTCCGGGGGAAAATTGGCTTTGTATATTGAGTATTTCATGTACAGTAGTTGATTCGTGTGAGTGGGGGAAAATCACAAGACAAAAATGTTAAAGCGGGTAAAATGTGCTGTTTGTAAATGGATCTTTTGAAAGATATGATTCGTAATATTAATATAGACTAATATTTTAACACCTCTTAACGGTATCGTATATGCACAATGTATTCCAAAGGATATTAAGGGGGAATATCTAGAATGTCTTAGTTTCTGGTTCTGTTCCACCAGATCGCCTCGGATCGAGTCAGTCCGGACTAGTCCTGGATAGTACGATCAGTGCACGCACGCACGGACGCACGGACGCACGCACGGACGCACGCACGCACGCACATAACATGTCTTAAACTAAAATGTAAGTTATTAAGGAAGAGCAAGTTCTGTCCATATACATTCGAATTTCGACCTTTCGAAGATTTCGAATCAACCCTTTCATATGCAATATTGATAAACTCCTTTTTGTCTTATAAAAAAACCTATACATTCTACAATTTTACTTGTTAAATCACCACAACAAATGAATAACTTGACGTATAACTTGCACAGTATCTTCATTGCTTAAAAGGGCGGTCGGGTAGCCTAGTGGTTAAAGCGCACGCTCGTCACGCCGAAGACCCGGGCTCGATTCCCGATATGTGTGCAATGTGTTATCCTCATTTCTGGTGTCCCCCCGCCGTGATATTGCTGGAATATTGCTAAAAGCGGCGTAAAACCATACTCACTCATTGCTTTAAATCAATATGTAGCATCACGATATTTGTATTCTAACCATAACTATTGATCTACAAAATACTTATTTATTTTTATTTTAATCCACAGGCAGCCTTATTTCCAACTATATCTTGGTGGTTGATATTTAGACAACGACTCACGTCATCACCCGAGCCTTGACCTCCAGATCTGACCTATTCTAACACCAAATCTCCACATGGTTCGTGTAGTTACGTACAAGTATGAATATGACCTTTGGTTGGAACAACCTAATGACATTGCTGCGAAAGGTTGTTCCTAATCCCACAAACACCTAATGAAAATACACAGTTTGTTATTACCAAAAACACTTTAAATTCCATGGATAAAATAGTTGATCGTATGGTTCATTGACAGCGGCCGTAATCTCTTGGTCGTCGGTTGGAATTCTCGCCTAATCCTTGATTTGCCATATCCTCAGCCGTGCTCGTGTTTTTATTTTGACGTGATAGCATTTGTAATTTTA